CCCGATGCGGGACTCGATCCCGGGACTCCAGGATCATGACCTGAGCCGAAAGCAGCCGCTCAACCAACTGAGCCACCCAGGCGCCCGCCCATGTTCTTTTTTTTATTATTATTTATTTGACAGAGAGAGACCGCGAGAGAGGGAACACAAGCAGGGGAAGTGGGAGAGGGAGAAGCAGGCTTCCCACTGAGCAGGGAGCCCAACATGGGGCTCGATCCCAGGACCCTGGGATCATGACCTGAGCCGAAGGCAGCCGCTTAACGACTGAGCCACCAGGCGCCCCTGAGGCCCATGTTCTTAACCACAGCACATTGCTGTCAGCCTGGGATCATAGAATTTTTTTAAACTTACACAAAAGTAGAATAGTGAATTCTCATGTACCCATCATTCATCTTCAAAATAGTCGTCAACACTTGGCCAGCCTTGTTTCATCACTACCCTGCCCACTCTTTCTCATTCTCCTGAAACAAGAGTATTTTTAAAGCAAAACCCCAACATCAGATCATTTCATTTATAAATATTTATGTATGTTTTTCTAACAGATAAAGATTCTTTCTTTCCTAACGTAACCAAAGTGTTATTATCCTCCTTAACAACATTCATAATTCCTTAATAACATCTATTATCCAGTCTGAGTGACATCTTCGAGGCCGCTCTGGCTCTGAATCTGTGACCCAATAGGCAGTTTGAAGGCCTTGTGCTAGTGTCCAGGGGAATTTGGGAATGTGATCTGACCCTTCCATGGGGGCTCTGCTATCTACCAGGGAAAACGGCCCTCTGATAGGAGCCTTGAAGTAGGAGTCAGAAGCCCTGTCTTCCAGTTCTGGCCGTGATTCAAAAACTTCCATTCTGCCATCTGTGAAATGGTGTTGATTGTGAAGGGCTCCTTGAATCCTTAGAAGGTCTGCTATTCTCTCACTGTGTGGCTAGCCCCATGTCTCCCAGTAGCCTGGACTGACTCCACTTCTGACTGTGCCACTGATTCTTGGTGTGAACTTGGGCAAGCAGCTCTGTTTTCCTGATCCTGTTTCCGAGGCTGTAACAGGAGGCAGAAGACCCAGAGTGGTAATGGTTACATGAGATCACTTCAGTAAATCCCTTTGGTGCCTGACACCTGGTAGACCCTCAGGGAACAGTAGCATTGGTGAAGCCTGAACGCTGTTTTCAGTGGGGTCTCAAAGCCACAAATGTTTGTTGAATGAGTAGAAGAAGTTTAGGTGGGTTGAGTGCTTGCCTCCCCATTCTACCAAGCGGAAGAGGTTCAGGCAGTGGACTCTGCTGGGCTAGGAAAATCCCACCCTTTCTACCCCTGTGGCTCAATCCTGTGTTCTCCGTGGGATGTTTCTTAGAAAGAGAGCTGGGTTTGGGGGCATCTTGGACAAAAGGAAGGCAAAGAATAGGTCAGGGCCTGTTAGGTGCTAGGCCCTGTGCTGAAGCCTCAGGCTAGATGTGGGGCAAACGGGGCTGCTGGTGGAGTGAGTGTAAGAGAATGCAGCTGGGCACCTTGGTCTCAGGCTGCCTTTGAGGCAGATGTTGGAGCTAGTAAGGACCTGGCTTGTGCAGTAATCCATATCAACAGGGATATTTTTTTTAATTTCATTTTATTATGTTACGTTAGTCACCATACATCACATCATTAGTTTTTGATGTAGTGTTCCATGATTCATTGTTTGCGTATAACACCCAGTGCTCCATTCAATATGTGCTCTCCTTAATACCCATCACCGGGCTAACCCATCCCCCCCCACTCCCCTCCCCTCTAGAACCCTCAGTTTGTTTCTCAGAGTCCATCGTCTCTCATGGTTCGTCTCCCCCCTCCGATTTCCCCCCCTTCATTTCAACAGCAATATTTTCATGTGTGTCCATCCAGTTGACCTCCCCAAACACCCTCTGACACCCCCCTCAAGGGCCTTCCAGTAAAGGGCCTGAGCTTACAGGAAGAGCTGACCGCGGCAGGTTGAAGGCCTTTCCCTATCAGCACTGTGGCTACCCATTTCCCCCAACTGGACTGCCCTTGGCTTTTCTCTGTAAAACCTCAGAAGCCCCATGGCCACTCCCTGGAAGTATGTGGCTCCTGGGTCTCTAGGCCTCATCTGGAGGTTTCCCTGGGCCAGAGTGCACAGGACATGTGCCTGGGAAGGGGACTTTGTCCTCGGGCTTTCTGATGCCCCTCTGCTTCCAGCCTAGCTTGTGCAGGGACAGGCAGCAGGGAGAGAGCACCTGAGCTCTGATGAGAAGGCCTACAGGTTCTAGCTTCCTGCCACGCATTGCATAGTGGAAGGAGCACATAACCAAAGGCTGGAGTTGGAGAGGGGATTGCATACACAGAGGCCACAGTGTTGTTCTTTGACCCTAACTGTTTGCTGGCATTCAGCTGGGTGCTTTAGATTCACCTGCAAAATTGGGATTGTTATCCCATGAGACAGGTGAGAAGATTGAGGCTCAGGAAAGGGAAATGACATGCTTGGGGTCGTTAGTGGCGGAGCCGGCATGGGAACCCAGACGTGTCCAAAGGACATGTTCTTTCTATGACCCTGGGAAAGCCCTAGCGTCTCGGCTTAGCTGTCAACTGGCTGGGTGACCTCAGGTATATTCCTTGACCTCTCTGGGCCTTACTTCCTCTAACTAGGAGCCTGTGGTCCTCTACTGTTGGGAATCCTGAGGCAGTTGGCTTTCTACCCTCTGTTTTGCCTCTGAGGTCTGGGTGTCCCTCGTGTGAACCAGTACTCAACTGCTCTCTCCCACAACCCCCTGTTGGGGACTTGTGAGCATCAGTGAAGGCTTGGGTGGAAGGAGGAGCCCAAGTTCCTGAGGTACCCTGTGGCCCACCCTGCCCCTGCTAGGCTCAGATAACCTCCTCCTGGAAACGTGGGTCTGCATCTCTCTGGCCCTCTCCCCATAGGACTTTGACTCAGCGAAAACCTCTGGCCCTGGCCCTGGCCTCTGTGGGCAAAGTGGAAGCCACATGTGCGTCTGTCTGCACGGGCCACGAGGAAGCAGCTGGAGCTGTACATGTTAGAACGATGGGGCCCAGAAACATTAGCCTGGACCATCAGTGTCGCGGGGGTGGATCTTCGATTAATTTTGACTGTTTTATAAATGGGGAAACCAATGCCTTGCGAGAAAGCCAGCACCCTATTACCTAGATTACATATGCAGCCTCAGAACATAGGTGTCTGAGGTTGAACTAGGCCAGAAGGAGAAGATTCCCATGGACACCCGTGGTCATTGGGCTCTTTCTGCCTTGCTTCCCCAGTTTCCCCAACTTGGCCGTGGGCATCCTTGAGTAGAAGAGCAGGCATCTCAGAGACCAGGCCATCAAGAGGACAGAGTTCTGTCTCCCCTCACCTAGGGTGTCTCCCCCATTGAGAGTGTGCCATTTGGGGCGATGGGCCAGGTGCACACCACAGCCACTTGACAGGCAGGGGAGGCCTTTTTCTTGGCTCATCTCCTCAGTGGGGCCAGGAGGCAAGTGGGGAACAGATCAGGTTCCTGTCTCCCCCTGCTGCTGTGTGTACACACATTTGTGTGGTTTGTTTTTAGATTGCCTGCAGACACCAGGCTTCCTTTTCTGTCCTCAGCAGAACTTGCTGCGGCTCTTCTAGCAGGCGGGCAGGCAGCCTGGCGGGGAGACAGTTCCCAGGTGCCTCTCAAACAAATGGTAGGGCCCTGTGCTTAATTAAACTCCGGTAGGTAGTCCAAGCTTTCCTGTCCTGCTTCTCCACATAACTCTTAGGCAAATAGTGACTATTTTAGAGAGCCTGAGGAGGAGGGGTTACAGAGGTTTGAGGGACCTTCCCCCAGGCAGCAGGGGAAGGAGGTTGAGGCAAGCCTGTAAGAACTATTGGCTCTTCCTCCCTCCCATTAACCCCTGGCGAAGGGTAGGAAGGAGGTGAGGGTCCTCGCTTTATACAGCTTTGCCTCTCATCCAACCTTTAATCTTGGTTAGCGGTAAGGACAGCTACTTGCTGAATGCGATAGGTCTCTGTAGTTGTGAGGGTGGTATGGATATTTGGCCTCAGGGAACATCTTTTTTTTTTTTTAAGATTTTATTTACTTGTCAGAGCGAGAGAGAGAGTGCACACACGAGGTGGAGGAGCGGCAGGCAGAGGGAGAAGTAAGTAGTCTCCCTGCTGAGCAGGGAGCCCCATGTGGGACTCGATCCTAGGACCCTGGGATCATGATCTGAGCCAAAGGCAGGCGCTTAACCGACTGAGCCACCCAGGCATCCCCTCAGGGAACATCTTTGGCAGGATCTGCTGGCTTTGTGTGTGTGTGTGCACATGTGCGTTTCTCTGCTCATGTCTCAGCGTGCTCAGAGAAAGGACAGACGTAGGCTGTGGGGAGGTAAGGTTTATGCTGACCTCTATGTAATTCCTGCCCACTCCCAGGCCTTTCCAGGGTTCCAGCTGATTCCTGCTTGTGCTGGTGGGGAAACTGAGGCAGACAGAATCAGGCCTTGCCCTCAGCGGGCAGGCGGCTAAAGTTATAGTTGGATTAGGGGTAGTGGTAACATCACCTGGAGCATCAGTGTTTGAAGTTACCAGGTACTCCTTGAGAGCCTGGCCTTTACCCTCCCTGATGTGTGACCTCAGGCCAGCTCTGCCACATTTCTGTACCTCAATTATTCCTCCTGTGTAAAGTAGGGCTTTTTGGGGTGAAGATGAAATAAGTTGGAATGTGAAAAGGCCTTGGTGGAATCAATTGTGGTATTGTCCTGAGGATTTCCGAGCCCTCTTTGGGTTGGGGACAGAGGTGAGGTAGTGGGGGACCCCCTTCAGCTGGACTCTGGGAGGGGAGAGCAGGTGCAGATTGCCCACAAGTGCAGCGTCAGCAAGAGGAGTTTCGGTTTCTATCAAAACAAGTTCTCTGAATTCCCCTACCTCTGCAGGTCCATTGGGCCCTTTCCCCCACCTTGGCCCCCACAGGGAAGTCCAGCCCAGCCCCTAGTCCCATATGCCAACCCTCTGGGAGGAGGGGGCTTTCTGGAGGACAGAGGTGGGCTAGCAAAGTCAGACAAGCACTGCCTCGATGAGGACTTCCTGTGTTTTAGCCCTGATTTGGATGGTTATCCCACTTTAATATCATTGAAAAGATCCTTCTCACCCCCATTGGGGAGGTATTTTTGCTCGGTTTCCTTGGTGTTCAGATACGCACGTTTTCTTCCGCATCAGTGATCCCAAAACTAGCTTATATTTTATAATCAGTGAGGTGGGTCGTGCCGCCCACCCCCAACAAAAGCTGTGATTTAAATGCATGTACAGTACCACCTATCAGTACATCTTAGGATTGAGGAGAGAAGGGGAAACTTTACAGGTAGGTAGGTAGAGAAAGTCATTTAAGGACCCTGTTTCGTGAAGCCTGTATTTTCAATTTGATGTTAATTTGGTTGCTAAAGATTTGAACTACGGACACAGGAGGTAGGCCTGTGGACCTTTGGATTCAGGAAAGGTAGAGAGCCCGCCCTGCCTGTGTGAGGCAGGACAGCCTAGACTCCTTGCTCGGGGCTTTCCTCTGGCTGAGGGAGTACGACAGAAATGAGGAAGGGCTTAATGAGTGGTTCCGGCGACATTCTGACTGACTTGGGGATGGTTAGCTATTTGAGAGAGTCATCGTCCGCTCATGACAAGCGGAGCCCCCAGGTTCATTTCTTTTTTTTTTTCTAAATTTTTTTTTTTTTTAAGATTTTATTTATTTATTTGAGAGAATGAGAGACAGAGAGCACGAGAGGGAAGCAGGTCAGAGGGAGAAGCAGACCCCCTGCCGAGCAGGGAGCCCGATGCGGGACTCCATTCCGGGACTCCAGGATCATGGCCTGAGCCGAAGGCAGTCACTTAACCAACTGAGCCACCCAGGTGCCCCCCCAGGTTCATTTCTTGAACACCCAGGACATCGTAGGCATTCAGCAAACCCTACCCCTCGTCTTGACAGCCCCCTGTGAAAGGAAGAGTAGTACTCTCCCCACTTCACGGATGAAGACATTGCAGCCCAGAGAGCATGAAGGCCTTGTCCAGTGCCACACAGCTAGGAGGCAGCAGGACCTTTCTGCTAGGCAAGGGGGCCAATGGCAGGGGAATGGGGGGGCCTTCACGAGCTTCCCTCAGCTCCCTTCCCTGTTGCAGTCTCCCCTTTCCTCCATTTTCTTGCATCCAGCATCCAGCTCAGGTAGATCCATCTCCCAGGAAATGCCTGTCGATCTTTCCCGAGGAGCATCTCAGCCCCCTCCTGGAGCTTGGCAGGCCGGCCCGTTTAACCCCCTTGCCACCGTCGCAGTCCCTGTTTACTGCAGCTGCTGGCAGCACTGCCTCCGCAGCCCCCCAGGCTCCTTCTACATAAATAGCTCTCGCAGCCACAGTGGCCTCTGTGGTCCCGGCTTCTAAGAAAGGCGGCAGCAGGGGGCCCCCAGCCTCTGCGCAGGGCACGTGACTTGCTGGAAATGCTGCTGGGGGGGCGGGGGAGAGTGTGGCCGCAGAACCCACATCCTTGTTTACATCAGTGAAGGGGCTACCCCTTCCCGCCTTCACCGCTCCCCCCCGCCCTCAGGTCTCCGCACCTCTAAGAGGACGTGAGACAGGCATGGGCCCCATTTTCTGTCTCAGAGCAGCCTTTTTCTCCTTCTCTCACAGAATCCTCCAGGGAGGGAAGGGGAGGGCAGCGAAGGCGATTCTTCAGAGGTAGACTGGCTGTCCTGGAAGACCTCTGCGGTGTTCCCTGCAACAGCGGGACCTGCCCCTGCCCCAGTGCCCCAGAGAGACCCCATCAGAGCAACGGTCCTTCGGGGAGACAAAGGGAAATTCCCTCTTCATCTTAGCCAGGGGACATCAGGCGTGCCCCATCTTCAAGCCCACTTTAATTTCCCCAGGAGAAGACTCCCTGGCTCCCCTGGCCTGTCCATCCACTCAGCAAGCTGGTCCCGATTTCCTGTACTGTATCGGGCCCTGAGCTGGGGTGGACTTGGATGTGACTTGCTCTCAGCCTTCAGTGGGAGTCAGAGTGGTCAGGCAGAGGAAGTCTGCACACACCTTTGATAAATGTAATGATAGAAGTGCTCTGGAGGGTGGGAGGGCTGGGCAACTGTATAAAGAATACATGGGTGTGTGACAAGTAGGCAGCCGAGGAGGATGGAAAGAATGCCCCGAAAAGAGGAAATGGCATGTGTGAAGATCCTCAAGTAAGGTAGGGGAAGCCTGGTTCTTATTTTGACCGAAACCCTGTGACACCTAGATCATTTGGGCCATAGGCAGGCTGCCTTTCCCGAATTAAGCTTAAGTTATGTTTGTATGTGTCTTTTTCTCTTGCTAGAATATGTGCTTCTTGCAGACAGGGGCAGGATTTTACTCACATCTATCACCTACACAGTACCCCACATTCAGGCCCCACTCCGGGTAGGGGACTCTGGTTTACTGAGTGACTGCTGTGTCCCAAACCCCGTGCTAATCACCTTATACCCATGATTTCGTTGATCCTCTAAGAGGCCTGCCAGGGAGTTACCTGCTTGTTCCTGTTTTACACGTGAAGCCTATGAGGCTCAGGACGCTTGGGTTGCTTGCCTCTGGTCGTTTAGCTCACTGGTACCTGGCAGAACTGGGCTTGAAGCCCAGTTTTTACAGTTTCTTCTTCTTCTTTATTTATTTATTTGTAACCTACGAAGGCCATGCTGGCTCCCAGGAGTCAGGAAAACTGTATTCTAGAGTTGACTCTCTCAGACTGACTTGCCGTGTGACCTTGGTGAAGCCACAAACTCTCCCTCAGCCTTAGCTTCCTCATGTGAAGAGTGAAGGGGGAGTGTGGAATTGCTGGTGCTCGAGGCCACTTAGGGGACTTAAAATGTTTGTTGATTTGTCTGAGTGGCCGGGCAAGCCCCGGACAGACTCATCTGCCTGGGTTGTGTTCCTCTCGCCTGTACTCTCCCATTCTTAAAGACTGTCCCTGCCTGCCTCTTTTTTCCGTGACCCCATTCCGGCCCACAAAGCCAAGCACGCTCCAGGCGGTAGTGTAGGAAAAGGAGTTTCCCTGGCCCCCAGCCCTCCACCCCCAAGGATGTTCCAGGGCGTGGAACTCTTCTCCGGTGGCAGCTCTTTTTTTTTTAATTTTTTTTTTAAAGATTTTATTTATTTATTTGAGAGAGATAGAATGAGACAGAGAGAGCACATGAGAGGGGGGAGGGTCAGAGGGAGAAGCAGACTCCCCGCTGAGCAGGGAGCCCGATGCGGGACTCGATCCCGGGGCTCCAGGATCATGACCTGAGCCGAAGGCAGTCGCCCAACCAACTGAGCCCCCCAGGCGCCCTCCGGTGGCAGCTCTTGACCCCCGCCTCTCTTTCTGTCCCCACAGCTGACCAGGTGTACGGAGACCAGGACATGCATGAGGTGGTGCGAAAGCATTGCATGGACTATCTGGTGAGACCTTGCAGAGGCCTCGGGGCGGGCAGAGTGGGCGCATCCCTGCCCCGCACGGACCTGACCCTCCGATCTGTTCCGCAGATGAAGAATGCGGACTACTTCTCCAACTATGTCACCGAGGACTTCACCACCTACATCAACAGGAAGCGGAAAAACAACTGCCACGGCAACCACATTGAGATGCAGGCCATGGCAGAGATGTACAACCGGCCCGTGGAGGTGTACCAGTACAGCACAGGTACTCGGGCGGGCAGCTGAGCGGCCGCCTGCGCCCGGCCTGGGCCTGCCCTGCCCGCCGCGGGTGCTCCTTCCTTCTCTTTCTCTGCAGAACCCATCAACACATTCCATGGGATCCATCAAAACGAGGATGAGCCCATCCGCGTCAGCTACCACCGGAATATCCACTACAATTCAGTGGTGAATCCCAACAAGGCCACCATTGGTGTGGGACTAGGCCTGCCATCATTCAAACCCGGGGTAAGTGGGTCCCCATGCCCAGGATGGCTGCTGGATAGAGAGGCCGGAAACCTCTTTTGACATCTCAGTTCTGCCCTAGCCCACAAAAATGACATGTCCCCCGAGTTGCCCCTGAGCTCTCACCTCTGTAAAACTAGGGAGTTACCCAAGGTGATCTCTCAGGGCTCATTCGGTGCTCTCCGTTTGCGCGTCTGAGCTGGCTTACCCATCTTTCATGCCTGTTGAGGGTTGGCATTTTGGGATATGGAGGAGGCACATCTGGGAACTGTGAACCCGGGCTTGGTCTGGGTATCTCGGTACCTGCATGGATCCTCCGAAACTCAGCAGTTCTAGACAGCCGTGGTCACAGAGACTTAGAAGTGCAGGCCTGGCCCGACCACTACTGGCTGTGGGACCTAGGGCAGATTATACAAGCAATGTGGGCTGGCCGCTTGGCCAGTACAGAACATGCCGAACACTGGGCCTGTTGCCTAGTAGGTGCTCAGAAGGTGGCAGTACGTTTTTCCAGCACATGCTGACAGGTTCTTGTTCTCTCTCATAAACAGTCATCTTCTGGGGATTTTGCTGTCTTCTATTGGGGTTTCACTTCCTACAAACAGAAAGTGCCCCTGCCTCATTTTAGGAAATGCACACCCTAACACGACACACCCTCCAACATAGGGTTTTTTTTTAATTTTGTTTTTTAAGTAAACTTTTAATTTTAGAACAGTTTTAGATTTACAAAATTACCAAGATTACATAATTTCCATATTCCCCACTATGATGAACATACCTGCATAGAATATTTGTCACAATTAATAAACCAGTATTGATACATTAACTAAAGAGACCATACTTTATTTAAATGACCTCAGTCTTTCCCTAACGATCTTATCTGTTCCAGAATCCCATCCAGGAGACCTTCCTACATTTAGTTGTCATGTCTCTTTTGGCTCTGACAGTTTCTCTGAATTTCCTTGTTTTTATCTTTGATCTGTTTACAGAGTCTGGTTTTGCCTTTTCTAGAATGTAATGGAATTGGAATCATAACTATGTAGTTTTTTTTCTGAGTGTCTTTCACATAACGCCATGTATTTAAATTTAAGATTCATCCATGACTTTCTGTGGTCTGATCACTCGTTTCTTTTATCTTTTTTTTTTTTTAGGATTTTAAGTGTTTTTTTTTTAAGATTTAAGTTTTTTTTTTTTTACTTATTTTTAAAGATATTATTTATTTATTTTACAGAGAGGGACACAGCGAGAGAGGGAACACAAGCAGGGGGAGCGAGAGAGGAAGAAGCAGGCTTCCCGCTCAGCAGGAAGCCCGATGTGGGGCTCGATCCCAGGACCCCGGGATCATGACCTGAGCCGAAGGCAGACACTTAATGACTGCGCCACCCAGGCACCTCTAAGATTTAAGATTTTAAGATTTATTTATTTTAGAGACAGAGAGGACGAGTGGGAGGGGGAGAGGGAGAGAGAATCTCAAGCTGACTCCATGCTGAGCGCACAGCCCATCCTGGGGCTCGATCTCCCAACCCTGAGATCATGACCTGAGCCGAAATCAAGAGTTGGAAGCTTAACCAACTGTGCCACCCAGGTGCCCCACTCGTTTCTTTCTTTTTTTAAGATTTTATTTATTCATTTGACAGAAAGCAAGCACAAAGAGGAGGTGGGGGGGCAGAGGGAGAGGGTGAAGCAGGCCCCCACTGAGCAGGGAGCCCGATGTGGGGCTCGATCCCTGGACCCTGGGATCATGATCTGAGCTGAAGGCAGACCGCTTAACTGACTGAGCCACCCAGGCTCCCTAGCCCCACTTGTTTTTTTGTTTTTTGTTTTTTTAATTAAAAAAAATTTGAATGCCTTAAGTATTTTTGTTTGTTTGTAGATTTAATTGTTTAGAATGATTTTAAATTTACAAAAAAAAAATTGAGAAGGTAGAGTTCCCATGTAGCCTCCTCCCCCCTACACAGTTTCACTTTTATTAACATATTGGATGACTATGATACATTTGTTACAATATATGAACCAATAGCAATACATTATTATTAACTGAAGTCATCCTGTCTCTTTAGATTCCCTTGTTCTGTGACGGTTTCTCACATTTTTATGTTTTTGATGACCTTGACAGTATTGAGGAGTACTGGTCCGGTATATTATAGGATGTTTCTCTTTTGAAATTTGTCTGATGTTTTTCTCATTAGACTAGGGTTATGGGTTTTAGGGAGGAAGATCAGAGTGGTAAAATACCATTCTCGTCACATCTTACCAATGGTATATACTGGGAACATGATTTATGACTGTTGATGTTGATCTTGACCCCTGGGAGAAGTATTGTTTGTCAGATTTTCTCCACTGTAAAATTATTCTCTCCCCCCATTCCTTTTTCCTTACTGTCCTGTTTGGAAGGAAGTCATTATGTACAGCCCACACTGAAGAAGTGGAGGTTATGCTCCATCTTCTTTTTTTCTTTTGTTTTAAGATTTTATTTATTTATTTGACAGATAGATAGAGAGCACAAGTAGGCAGAGTGGCAGGCAGAGGGACAGGGAGAAGCAGGCTCTCCGCTGAGTAGGGAGCCGGACGTGGGGCTCGATCCCAGGACCCCAGGATCATGACCTGAGCCGAAGGCAGCTGCTTAACCGACTGAGCCACCCAGGCGCCCCCTATGTTCCATCTTCTTGAGGACAGAGTATCTACATAAATTATGTAGAATTCTTCTGCAAGGGAGATTTGTCTCTTGTCCCCCATTTATTTATATCACTGTGGACTCAAGGGTATTTTTTTTATACTTCTATACTTTAAGTTATAATCCAGTACTATTTTTATTTATTTAGATGCTCACATTGTTCCAGTTTTGGCTATTGGGAGCGCTCTCAGTTGGTTCCCAGCTGCATCGCTTTGACATACCCCCATCATTGTGGTGGTGGATTGATTTTTTTGTTGGGTTTGTTTTTGTTTTTTCGGGGTTTTTTTGGTTTTGGTTTGTTTATTGTGTTTCATTTTGTAGCACTTTCTTACTTTCTGGCACTATGAGGTGCTCCAGGTTCATCTTGTATATATCTTGCTCCAGTCCTAGAACCAGCCATTTGTCCAAGGAGCCCTGGTTCCTTTTATTGCAATATGTTATTAGAAACCAAGATCTGGGTGCTGAGTGTGCTTCTTACTACTGGGGTGTCCTTGCTTCTAGACCCTTTCAGCTGACAGAGCAAGGAGATCTATCTGTGTATACTAACCTGTGTGTATACATTTATCTAGAAATACTTCTTATGTAACCATCCGTATCTCTATGAAGCTACAGTTCTTAACTGGTATCTCCAACTGATAAGGTACCTCATCAGTTGTAATTTGCAATTCCTTGATGACAAATGGTGTTGAGCATCTTTTACGTGCTTATTTGCCATCTGTATATCTTCTTTAAGGAAATTGTGTTTAGAGTTTTTTGCCCTTTTTTAAAAAATATTTATTTGAGAGAGAGAGCACAAGCAGGGGGAGTGGCAGAGGCAGAGGGAGAAGCAGCCTCCCCGATGAGCAGGGAGCCCGATGTGGGGCTTGATCCCAGGACTCTGGGATCGTGACCTTAGCGGAAGGCAGACGCTTAACCGACTGAGCCACCCAGGTGCCCATTTTTGCCCATTTTTAAATTGGCTTGTTCTAACATAGAGCTTTATGTACTTTTTGGATTATTCTACATAGGTAAAAAAATTACATTTTACATCATAATGCACACATATTGGTGTGTAGTGTGTATATTTGCATTAAAATAATTGTTCAAATTTCACAGAGCAATACTTAAACTTAATGCCTAGAATATGCTCTGGTATTTTTTTAGATGCTGTTGTGTCTCATAGCCTGGCAAAAGCAGTCTCCTACAGTGTCCCACAATTTGTGACAGCCCTTCCCGTGATGATACCATCCCCTTGTCCCCTTAAATGTCCAAATACTCCCTTCACCCTGTGCACACTCAGCTAACTTCTCAGGTGATCTTTTCTCCTTGTCCCGTCTGGGCATAGGTGAGGAAGGTCTCGGTATTGTGAAACTGAGCCATCGCTGGGTGATGCATCTTTAAATTCCAGCACCTGATTGCCCCAGACCTAGTACTTCATTCAAGGTGTCTTAGGGGTGGGAGCAGGGCTTCTGAGTGTAGGAGTTTGGAATGACAAGTCCTACTACCAAAGCCTGCCTCCCAATTCTTGATGAATAGGCAGCCTGCTCAAGGGGATGCTTAGTAAGAGTACCTGACTTCCTATCTCCTCTCTTCTGGGCCTATAGGCCCACAATCCTGAGCCGGTTCTGGTTCCTGGCCAGAGTTCAGAGTGTCACCCCACATCCCTGTTCCTCCCTGCCTTGCAGTTCGCAGAGCAGTCCCTGATGAAGAATGCCATAAAAACATCAGAGGAGTCATGGATTGAGCAGCAAATGCTGGAAGACAAGAAGCGGGCCACAGACTGGGAGGCCACAAATGAGGCCATTGAGGAGCAGGTGGCTCGAGAATCCTACCTGCAGTGGCTGCGGGATCAGGAGAAACAGGCCCGCCAGGTCCGCGGCCCAAGCCAGGTGAGTCCTGGGCTCTGTCACTGGCCTGGCCAAGAACCCCTTATTTCACATGCTCTGCCCCCCCATACAGGAAGAAGAAATTAAGCGGTTTTGACATCTGGGAGAGAAGGAAGCTCTCAGCCCATTCTGTACCACATCTTGGCCTTAATCTTGGCATTGTGCCTTAGAACTCTCAACACCTTTGCAGAACGAGCTCTTAAGGAGTGAGGGAGGCCAGCACTGGCGGTAACGTGTGGGATTGATGAATAGTTCTAGAGGGACAAGCTTTTGTTGAATGTCCTTGTGTGTCAGGCTCTGTGCTGAGGATGTAGAATTAGGTCTGGCCTGTTCCACTCTCAGTGATCCTCTGTCTACCGAGGGAGACAGATACATCAGTGAGGCCCTTGACCCTGGCTGGGAGACCAGTGGACATGGGGGCTCTGGTCAGCCTTCACACAGGAAGGTTGGATTTTTAGGGCAGGGATGGGGCAGAGCAGGCAGGCATTTGAGGAATCACAAGGAGTTTAGAGTGACTGTAAGTGTTGGCAAGAGTCGAGTAATTTCTACAACAAATATTTATTGCAGGTCTGCGCCAGGCACTGTTCTCAGTGTATGGGGGTACATTGGTGAGCTGGGCAGGTCCAGATCCCTGTCCTTGTGATGCTTACATTTTTGCAGAGTGGAACAAAAGAAACAGTAAACATAATGAATAGATGGTTGAGAGGTGGGACAGATGAAACACATAGAGGGTGCTGACGGGGAGATGAAGATAGTATGGTCAAGGTAGGCCTCAGAGCAGGTGAGATGTGAGCAAAAGCTTGCAGAAGGTGAGACAGTTAGCTAAGTGCATGTGCCAAGCCAGGCAGAAGGCCAGCAAGAGCAAAGCCCTGAGGGGAGTGCGCTCCTGGTGTGATTTGGGAGCGGCTCGGGGCCAGTGTGGCGGAGCAGAATGCAGTAGTCAGAGAGGTGATGGGGCCGGATTGAGAAGGGGCTTGTGGGCTCTGCTGAGGACTTTGGCTTTTACTGTGAGTGAGGCAGAAGCCTTTGGGAGGGTTGTGAGCAGAGGAGGGACAGGATACCCCTGATTGCCGAGTGCAGCACGGAGTCTAGGGGGTTAGGCGGAGAAGCAGGGGACGGGTGAGGTGGAAGCTACTAGAGAAGTCCCAGTGGTGGCAGATGGCAGTGCTGGCTAGGGAGGAGTGAGGAAAGGGGATGGAGTCTGAATGTGTTTTGAAAGTGGGAGATACAGGTTTCCTGCCCGGTTGGCTGTAAGGATGTGAGGGGGGATTAAGGAGCTGGCCTTCGTCCTGCGGTCTGCCGTGTGACTAGGAATGATGGTGGCCTATGTAGAAACTGTATCACAGCCAGGATGCCGGGAGCAAGCCAGCCTTCAGGGACGGAGCAGAGGAGGCTCACGCCTGGCGGCGGTCCTTACCTCCTCCTCCTTCCTCCGCACTGCAGCCGCGGAAGGCCAGTGCCACATGCAGTTCTGCCACAGCAGCAGCCTCCAGTGGCCTGGAGGAGTGGACCAGCCGGTCCCCGCGGCAGCGGAGTTCAGCCTCTTCACCTGAGCACCCGGAGCTGCACGCCGAGCTGGGCATCAAGCCCCCTTCCCCAGGCACTGTCTTAGCTCTTGCCAAACCTCCTTCGCCCTGTGCACCAGGTCAGTGACTTGGTGACAGGGAAGCATGCCGGGGTGAGGAGGTGCCGCCTAGGTCCTGCCCCCCCCCCCCCCCGCCTCTGACTGTCCCTCTGCCCCAGGTACAAGCAGCCAGTTCTCGGCAGGGGCCGACCGGGCTACTTCCCCCCTCGTGTCCCTCTACCCTGCTCTGGAGTGCCGGGCCCTCATTCAGCAGATGTCCCCCTCCGCCTTTGGTAAGCTTCCTCTGTCTAGGGGCCAGGGACCAGCTGGGAGTTGGGGAGAGATGGAAGAAGCAGCCAGTCCTGAGAGGGGGCTTCTAGAGCCTCGGGCCACCTCCCCAGGAAAAGGGAGGTTTTCAAGCCCAAGGGATATGTCCAGAGGGGATTTGTGTGGGATTTCATAGGCCCGGAGGAGCCTTCTCTATAGAGAAAGAAGTGTAGAGGGGCCTGGATGGGATCTCTCCCGAGCCAGGGATCAGCCAAGGGTGAGGAAGAGATGCACTGGGAGTGCTCCATCATCCTTTTGCCCTTCCTCTTGCCCAGCAGGTCTGAACGACTGGGATGATGACGAGATCCTAGCGTCGGTGCTGGCAGTGTCCCAACAGGAATACCTAGACAGTATGAAGAAAAACAAAGTGCACAGAGATCCACCCCCGGACAAGAGTTGATGGAGACCCAGAGACTGGAGACCATCTCCCAACCCCCACCACTCCTGCCCTCCAGTGCCGCCCCACCTTCTTCGGCTTTCTTCCCTCTTGCCTTCTTCCCTCTCTCCCCTCCTTCCGCTCCTCCCCACTTCCCTCTGGCTGGCCCATCCCTGAGCCCCCTCTCATCGCTGCCGCCACCACCACCATCACCCGTCTCTTCGCCAGCTGACGTGCCCTGTTGCCCCCTGCACAGCATCATCCCTGCATTCCACAGGGGACTTGGGCAAGGGTGCCGAAGGTAGGCGAGAGGCACACAGAGACAGAACAGCTGGCAGCCAGGCAGCCCCCGAGGAGAGACATTCAGACAGAGGAAAGTTTCCCTGCCCCCCCATTCCTTCCAAGATCAGAAATACTTGTCACCCCACCTCCACAATGATGTTGGGGAGGTGGGAGGAAGAAGTGGGAATCCCCCTTCCCAGTACCCCAAGAATGTCTGAGCCTTCAATGTTGAATTTTTTCTTTATTAAAATGTACTTTTATCTTATAAACTCAACCAATCCAAAATGATGTAGACAACAGCATTGGCTCTGTGAAGGCGGCATCTCTCTGGTTTGGGAGCAGGCAGGCCACGGGGCATAGAGGGGGCACAAAGACGTGGTTGCCGTCTCTAGCCCCCAGCTCCGCGGAGGTGGGCAGGGTCTAGAGTACAAGCGGGGGCAGGGGGTAGGTGTCCTGTGGGCTCTGGACAATGAGACTCTGACCTCGCTGCATTCCTACTGCTTCCACGCCACCGCCACCGGTCTCTTTGGAGTCTTGGGGTGGGGGGCACCTTTGAGGATCGTGGCTGCTGCCACCCAGGATTTGAGTGTGGGGAGTGGGAGCAGCCTCAGCAGATGGGGCACCCGGGCCCTGCAGGTGTTGACAAGATCCACCATCTGTAATGTCCTTGGCACAATAAAACCAAATGTCAGTTTCCCCTGAGCGCTTCTGTTCTGTGTGGGCCACGGGGTGGGTGGGCCTCCGGGCAGAGGCGGTGATGGCATATAGGCCTTGGCTTGACCTCTGGGTGCTGCATGCTCTCCAGTAGGGTCTGTGTGTGGGCCCAGAGTTTGTTCATCTTTGAATCACTGCTTACTAAATCAACTTCGGGACCTGTTCCCACCAAGTTAGCTCCATCTTACTGGCACACGTAGCCTGCCCACCCTGTGCCCTGGGGTGTGGTGGGAGCGGAGGACTAAGCTTCAGGGCTGGAACTGAACTTGCAACTTTTCTGCCTGCCTCCTTCCCTATATACGTTTGCTCTTTCCTTTGATTTTTGATGCAGAAATGCTTTGGAAAGGCACAACAGATGCTTCGTATCAACGTAAGTTTAGTGGAATCGACTGGAGGGGCCTCCCTGGTTTAACTACGGAATGGTTAAACCCTTTCTTTTTCATGTTCTCAGTCGTCTGACACCCATACCCCTGCCTTTCCTTGGGGTAAAGCCACAGCAGAGAAGGATGGCAGGCCCCCGGGTCTTGTCAAGAGTGTATTTTGCTGTGCCTCACCAATGGGGCCCCTGTGGAAGGATGCATGGCCAGCGCTGCTGGTGAAGGCATGGCTGGTTGAGTGGCCGTCTTGTGGGGTGTCTGTGGAATCCACTGGTCAAGTGTGCACATGTTAGAGAGTTGGTTTGGAACCCACTCTGGCTTTTTCTAGCTTTGTGACCTCGGTCAAATCACAGGCTGAGTTTCAGGGGTCCCACCATGTGTATGACAGGAGTGATTAATGTCTACTACCTCACGCTCTCTCTGGTTGTGAGCATTGAGAGAGGATGCACGTGGTCAAATAATGTCTGATGGCCTGGTGCCTGGCATGTTCTGAGAGCCCAAATGTTAGCAGATAGTATTTATTTACCTTATGTTGAGTTTTTTACACTGTTTGGCCCCTGCCTACCTCTTCTTGCTGCCCTGTCCAATTTCACTGGCCTCTGCCTGGAATTTGCCCTTCCCCGGTCCTGAGCCCCCAACCTTGTCCTTCAAGATGGGTAGAGTGTCCACCTTCCGAGAAGCCCTGTGTGACCCCATCCATATTCTCACCTCTATCCACAGATAATGTCTTTACTCCTTCCCCAATAACTCTGTGATTCACTTCCCGGGCAAGGGCTGTGATGCCTGACTTAATCTGTGTATTTCTAATATCTGCACCCCTGCTGGGGCCTGGCAGGCTTACAGTAGACCCCTAATAAATATTGGATGAATAAGGGAGTGTACATGTGTGTATTTGCTCTTTGGGTGTTGTCTTGTGTGTGTGCGCGTATGTGTGTGTGCGTTTGACTTTGGTGAGTTCAAATCTTCACATGCACCTTGCAGTGTCTAGTGTGTGTGATGAGGGCTTGTTTCCAGGTGTGTCAGATGGTGACTGAGTGTGGGACTCTCTCTCTGACAGTTTATGTCTGTTTCTGAGACAAGTGCATGTCTGCGTGGGTCTGTCTGTGACAGAGCATCTGTGGTTTCTTTCTGATGGGGTGGATGTCCGTTTGTATTCCTGTGACAGATTCTAGGTAGCTATTTCTGGACAGTTTCAGTGACAACGCTGCATGTTTGCTGGTGTGTGTGGGGGGGCGTGTCTATCCACATCTGTTTTGTGACACTGCCTATCTGTGGCTCTGTCGCATAAGTATGTCTGCCTTTGGAGCAGTACTTGTGTGTGTCTGGAGCATCTGTGTGTCTTCCTGTGACAGACTCAAGGTCTCTCATTTCTGGGACAGTACAAGTCTTCCTCTGACAGTGCATGTCTGATGGTGCCAGTGTCTTTGTGACAAGTTCTGGTGGTGTGTCTGACAAGACATTTCTGTGTCATTGTCACATGGCAACGTCGGTCCATGTGAATCTCTCTGGAGTGCCTGTCTTTCTGTAACAGTGTTTCTCTGGGTGTCATTCCGGGACATAACTGGCAGCATGCCTGCCTGACTGTGGATGTCAGTCTGTGACAGTAGATGTCTGCATGTGTGTCTAGGACAAGTTTACATGAATGTGTCTGACTATAGGTTTTGCGTATATCACATGGTACTTCTGTGTCGAGTGCATCTCTGTCTTCCTGCGGCGTGAGGATCGACTATTTTTCCCAAATTTGTGTTGGAGGGTGTTTTACCACCTGTCTGAGCCCTTTCCATCCCTGTCTCTCATTGGGGAAGCATACCCCCAAGCCACCATCACTCTGGCTAGCTAGCACCCCACCACCACCACCCGAGATCCACTACCCTCTGCCATTCCAGATTCTAGATGTGCTGACTAGGCTCGCGGCCAGACCTAGCCAGGTCTGTCCAGGTTAAGGGCTCCAAAACACCCCACAGGCCTCTGCCTCAGGGCGTGGGAATGCTGTCTCCCGCAGTGGTAGGGGGGTTATCCATCCCTGGAAGCTGGAAAGGTTCTTCCAGGATCCCCGGCTTCAGTTTTGGGGCAGAGGCCGCTGGTCGCCTAGAGGGCTCTCGTCCTGGGTGAGGAGCACTCTTTGGAGACAGGGTCTTGGGTAGCCACAGGCCCCGATTCTTAGAAGCCCGGCCTGGCATTATCTCCGCGCTAATCTCGAAGCAGCGGCTGCAAACCAACTTCCTAGGAAAGGAGGCGGTGCGGTTATTTTTTTAAGTTTATATCTATATATACACATACACACACATATATAAAAACAACCCCGCGCAACAACCAAAACAAATGCGGTTGCTGCAAAGGGATTCCCAGAACCGGTTTCCTCTTCGCGCGCGCGCCCCCCACATTTGCATGCGGGCCCGGCCCCCGCGGAAGATCCGGGCATGTATTTGCATGAGGGGGTACTTGAAGCGTTGAGGGTGGTATGCAAATAAGGATTGGCTCCGATTGGCTGGGGTACAGCAGGTGCCGCGTCCGGATTGATCAAAGCCAAGTGGGCGGGGCTGTCGCCCGGGGCGACTCTCTCGGGAGGCGCGTGCCCCGGCTCAGTAGCGTTGGGGCTGGCGCGCGCGTCGAATCTTAACGTTGCGCTGTTTTGCGGGCGCTTTGGGGCCATCAGCTTCTTTGCCTTCCACCCTGGCGCCCCCAAGTCCTGGCTCCCCAGCCTCGCTACCCCGGGCATCCACGCCCTGCGGGCTCAGCGGGCTCAATCTGCGCAGCACCACCTCCATGTTGACTAAGCCTCTGCAAGGGCTCCCTGTGGCCCCCGTGACCCCCACGCCGCCGCCAGGTGAGCGAGGCTCCCCTACCGCGACTAGGCCGGGCGGGCTGAAGTGGTTGAGGGCGCTGCGGGGGGAGGGGGGAAGGGGTCGCGGCCGGGCTCAGCACGCAGCCACCCTGACTTCCTCGCCTCCGCCTGCGTAGGAGGCAAAGATCGCGAAGCGTTCGAGGCCGAGTACCGACTCGGCCCCCTCCTTGGTAAGGGGGGCTTTGGTACCGTCTTCGCAGGACATCGCGTCACAGACCGACTCCAGGTACCAACCACGAGGGTCTTGGGTGGGTCAGGGGTGGTGTGTGTGTGTGCGTGTGTGTGTGCGTGCGCGCGCGTGTGTGCGTGTGTGTTGTGTGTGCGTGTGGCGGGGGCGGGAGTCCCGAGGCTGGGATGCTGATTGACCAGGGGATGAGCCGACAATGTGTGCGTGGTAGGGTCATGAGGACCAGGATCCGGGTTGGTGGGGGTGCCGGAGCGCGCGCATGTGCGCGCGCTTGTTTGTGTGTGTGGCGATCCAGGTGGGTATGTGGGGGGGGGGGGTTTCAGGGCAGGGATGCTGGAGGTCCAGGGAGTGAGACTGAGGAGTGGGGGTCGTGAGGACTCTAGACCCTGGGATCCAGGGGATGTGTATCTGTGTGGGAAGGTAGAGACCCAGAGCTGAGATTTGGGGGATTTCGAGGGCAGATGTCCAGCGTGGAGTTCTTAGGACCAGGACCCCAGTACAGAGTTGGGGTGTCTTGGAGCTGGATGGGAAGATTGAGGGCTTGGGGTATTAGGAAATTCAGAGCCCAGGGTCTGGAGTGAGGGGTCCTGAAGCCTGAGAAGAGAGAACCCAGGGCCAAGGATGATGGGAGAGGTGAACTTGGTTCTGGGGACTTGGAGGGCAGGGGAGAAGCTCCAGCTCATTTTGGGTTGTGGTGTAGCGAGGTTGGCACCAGAAAGACTAGGGTGAGGGTCAAGACTGGGAGGGGTGTGGGGGTCGTCTGCTGGCCCCCTCACCTCAGCTCTCTTCTCCAGGTGGCCATCAAAGTGATCCCCCGGAATCGTGTGCTGGGCTGGTCCCCCTTGGTGAGTATCTTTGGAGTCCCTGACCTGGCGACGCCATCTCTGAAAGATGGACTCTACCCCTTGCCTTTCTCGGGCTTGTGTGATTCCCTGGGCCCTGTAACGGTGAGGAGAACACTCCTACCAGCCTGTGTTTACTCCCCTGTGGTGACATCCACACCTCCATACAGTTCTGACTCACCCCAGCTCCCCTAGGGCCCTGGATTCTCCCCCTCCAACCCTCCTTTCTCCTCCTCCCTCCAAACACTGCCTCAGGGGCTGCCCGCAGGGCATGCTGGTGGGGAAAGAGGGGCATAGGTCACTGGTTGCCATGGTGACGGTGGCTGCTTCTCTTCGGCCGTTAGAACGCTAACGGACAACAGGGCGGGTCTGGGCAAGTTGTAGGTGTGGGAGCGCCCCCTGGAGGACTCTGGGGGAGACTGCGCCTGCGCAGGCTGTGGGACCCGGAGGGAGAAGTTGCGCCTGCGCAGTAGCGAAATTTTCATCACCGTGAGAAAACCTGTCTGCGGCTGTGCTAGTCAGCGGACTGGCCGGGAGAGGGCCCCACCTCAGGCAGGAAGGCGGATTCTGGCTGTCCATGAGCCCGCACCGGGCTTCTAGCGTGGGGCGGCTTCTGTGGCCAAGCATTTATGCCTTTTATTGAGCACTGTGTGTCTCAGGCTTTGCTTCATCATCAAAGTTTACTGTGTTCCAAGTCCCACTGAGTACTTGAGTTCAACACAGTTCTAGATGTTTAGTGACAGACAAAACATCACATAATATTATTGAGTTCTTACTTTGTTCCTTTGCAATTAATCACTTTCAGCTACTTAACAAATGTATATTGAGCACCTACTATGTGCCAGGCATAATTTTAGGCATTTGGCAAAATATCACATTTATTGAGAGCTCATTTTGTGCCAGGTCCTTTTCTTTTACCTATTTAATAAATATGTATTAAGCCCTACCCTGTTACCAGGCACTGTTACAGTCAGTGAACAAAACAGACAAACCATTATACAATAACAGTATTTATTGCGTGCTAACTCTGTGCCAGACTGTGCTATAAAGTGCTTTCAACTATTTAACACACATTTATTGAGCACCCACTGTATGTAAGGCACTGTTTTAATCTGTTCTGAGATGCCAGTGAACAAAAGATACACTATTACATAATAGTGTTCATCAATTGCTTCTTCAGCAGAAGGTCTTTTTTTAAAAAGATTTTATTTATTCATTTCAGAGACAGCATGAGTGCATGCGCACGCGAGAGGGGGGGGAGGGGCAGAGAGAGAGCATCTCAAGCAGACTCCCTCCTGGCTGAGCATGGAGCCCGACGTGGGGCTTGATCCCATGACCCATGAGATCAGGACCTGAGCTGAAACCCAGAGTCGGATGCTCAACCGACTGAGCCACCTAGGTGCCTCAAGAAGGCCTTTTTTTTTTTTTCCTTAAACGGACTTTCATTTACTGAAATACTCACTGAGCTCCTATAATATGCCAGATGTGTATAGGCTTTTGGCTCAAACCACTGTTTCAGTGGCTGTGTTTGAGCCCTTAAGATGAGGAAACTGAGGCTCAGGGACGGAAGTGGGTTGCTGAAGGCCACACAGTCAGGAGGCTGAGGGGCTATGATTTAAATTCAGGCGAGAAGTCAGCCTCAGAGCTGCTGGCCTGACGTCTTTGTTCTCTTTTCTCTCCCCCTCCCCCCACAGTCAGACTCAGCCACATGCCCACTAGAAGTCGCATTGCTATGGAAGGTGGGTGCAGGCGGTGGGCACCCTGGTGTGATCCGCCTGCTTGACTGGTTTGAGACACCAGAAGGCTTCATGCTGGTCCTCGAACGGCCGTTGCCTGCCCAGGATCTCTTTGACTACATCACAGAGCAGGGCCCATTAGGCGAGGGCCGGAGCCGCTGCCTGTTTGCCCAGGTAGTGGCAGCTGTTCGGCACTGCCACGCTCGTGGAGTTGTCCATCGTGACATCAAGGATGAGAACATCCTGATGGATCTCCGCCGGGGCTGTGCCAAACTCATTGATTTTGGTTCCGGTGCCCTGCTTCATGATGAACCCTATACTGATTTTGATGGTAAGTCTTCGCTAAATCTCAGTGGGGGTGGGTTACCTTTTATCGTTATAGTCCCCTGATCTTTGACCCCTAGGCTGTGGTGGTCTGTGCTCCTTGATCTATATTGCACCTTTATAAGGTTCTTGAGTTTTAATATTGGGGACTCTCAAGCCTTGTCCTCTGCTAAAGTCCATCTTCTGACAGTGCCCAGACCTGGTGAGGGGATTGTGTTATTATCCTGAGTATTCCTTTTCTGTCTGGTAAAGGGATCCTACTGTTACTTTTAAGTGCTTTTATTCTGTTGAGGCCACTCTGCTGTTACCTTAACTGTTCTTTTTCTGATGATGAGACTCTGCTGTTATATTTAAAGAACTCTTCTGGTTAGGGGACCCTACTCAGGTAGTGTGTTCTCTTAATTCTGGTGAGGGGACCATACTTCCTGGGGAGGGGATGTGGGAGAACGGCATTATCCGAGAGTGGTCTAATCTCTGGCTTATGTGCAGGGACAAGGGTGTACAGCCCCCCAGAGTGGATCTCTCGTCACCAGTACCACGCACTCCCAGCCACTGTCTGGTCGCTGGGTATCCTCCTCTATGACATGGTGTGTGGGGACATTCCCTTCGAGAGGGACCAGGAGATTCTGGAGGCTGAGCTCCACTTCCCTGCCCATGTGTCCCCAGGTGAGGCCTTCACCAGTCCTAGCTCAGTGGACTCCATCCTACCCAGGGACTAGTGTCCCCAATTGACTGCTAATCTTCTGTGTGCTTCTGATCTGCAGACTGCTGTGCCCTAATCCGCCGGTGCCTGGCCCCCAAACCCTCTGCCCGACCCTCACTGGAGGAGATACTGCTGGACCCCTGGATGCAGACACCAGCTGAGGATGCACCCCTGAATGCCCCCAAGGGGGGTCCTACCCCTTTGGCCTGGTCTCTGCTGCCCTAGTCCTAGCCAGGCCCCCGCTAGTTGGAATAGCCGTCCCATGGCATGCCACAGGGATAGATGGACATCTGTTGACCTGGTTATACAGGTCATTAAAAATCCAGTGTTACTAGGGTCAGAGATTGGGGATCAGGGGTCAAGAGACATAAGCGAAGTCTGCCCACTCCCCATCCCAATCCTGCTAAGGAGCCTTCCTCCCAGAACTTATGGTCTCTTATTCTGGAGGGCGGGGGGAACTTCCTTATTTCTCATTTTGCTAAGGGTGTTTATTTGGTTGAAGTTCCTTCCATTCTGAGCCCCAGGACTCTTATTCTGATGAGTTGTAACCCCTACACTGGCACCTCCTGCTACCACCACACACACTTAGTTCAAATGCTCTCACTTGGGCAAGGGTGCTTTCCTTCCAATGCCCCAGCAGCTCTTATTTTAGCAAAAGGACCCTTTTTCCTAGCCCAGGGTCCTATATTCAGTCAAGCTGCTTGCCTACCTCAGCCCAGGGTTGCTTATTCTGGGGGAGGTAATGCCCTATTGTTATCCCAAGACTTTTTTTTTTTTAATTATTTTTTATTATTATTTTATTTTTATTTTTTATTTTTATTTTTTGGTGAGGGGACCCTACTCTGTTATCCCAAGTGCTCTTATTCTGGTGAGGAGAACCCTACTTCCATGATTTGGGAAGGAATGGGAGATGGACACCACCAGAGTCCGCTAGGATGGGGTGGATGGTTTTTTTGGGGGATGGGGTGGGGGAAATCATTCTTGTTGTTTGTTCTCCTGGGGCCCCCCCCTCCATCTTTTTCGGATTCTTGCTGCCTCCTTCTGAGCCAGGATTGTCCAGTTGCTGAAATGTAAATACTTATGTATTGGTGGGAGGGGAGCTCCAACTGTGTCCTCCTCTTCCTTCTCCCCCTGCCTGGATTATTTAAAAAAGCCATGTGTGGAAACCCACTATTTAATAAATGTCATAGAATCAGAAGCGACTGGCCATTTGTAGATGAAGCAAGGAAACACATTATTTGATAAATAGAATCAGAAGCAACTGGCCATTTGTAGATGCAGTGAGGCAATGATGGAGCATTTACTGTATGCTGAGCCAAGAGGGAGGTGGGCTGGATCGCTCCTCTGCTCTCGCAAAGCTTTAGCCCTGTGATATTGTCCTAAAGCTCTTTTATGGGTTCGTCTATGCAGGATCACAAAGAAAAATTTGATTTCCCCCATTCCAGCTCTTACGTAGCTCCCAGGATGTGCAGAAGGGCTCCGTTGGAGATACTATAGACACTGAAGATGTTTGGGAGATATCCCCAGTCAGAGGGCTTGCTCGGCCAGAGAAAAATGTCTCCCCCAACCCCGTTGGAGGAAATAAAGCTCTTCTCCCATGGGAGAAAAGGCCTTTCAGGGCACGGGGTGAGGGAGGGGCTGGGGTTGGGCACTGACGGAAACCTTCCCAGCCCTTCCATGTTTCCTAATAACATCCAGGGTGTAAGTCACGCCTACTTACCTTTGGCCCCTACCTTTTTTCACCTCTCCCTTGCTCTCTTGCTCATCCCTCTCATCTCATTCCTCACCTCCTGACGTACCCACCCTAACCTCAGCTGTACCCTCTCTTGCCCCGCTTTCACAAAGCTAACCTGAAAGCCTCTCATCTGGTGGCTTACCTGGCCCCTTCGTACTCCTTTCCCTCCTCAATAGGGACTCGCTTAACCTCCCTACTCTGTCTCACCTCTCCAGCACCTTCTCACTCGTGTGGGCTAACTGCTCCGCTTTTAACAGCTGGGTTACCAGCCTGACCCTCGCCTGCCCCGCCCCCCCAGTCTCCTTTACCTCCCAGACGCCTGCGGGCTCCCCAGGGGGCGGGGCCTCGCCGGGAGGTGGGGGTAAAGAGGAACTTCAGTCCAATCACGAAGGTACCCAGGAGTTTGGGTGCGGAAAGGGCGGGATCATCTGTAGAAGGTGCCAATGAAGAGCCGAGATAGAAGAGGATCAGCTGAACCAATTAGACAAGGACACACGATGGGCGGGTGATCTGGAAAGCGGGATCAATGAAGACGAGGGCGGGTCTAGTAACGGGAATGAACCAATGAGGCTCTGTGGAGACAGCAAGAGGCTGAGTCGGTCGCGTGTTGGGTCTCCCCATCCTGACCGAATCTGGAAATCCCAAGGCTGCGGTCTTAGGTTCACTGTCCGGGAGCAGACCGGGAAAGCCGCGGCTCTGGCCAGCCCCTCACTCGCTCCACCCCCACCCCGGAGGCCCGGAGGCGGAAGTGACGGACACGGAAGTGCCCTGCTGTTGCCGAGGGGACGGACCAGGCAGATGCCAACATGGCAGCGGTTGGGTCTGGCGGTTCCACCGCGGCGGCTGGGCCAGGGGCGGTCTCCGCGGGGGCGCTGGAGCCTGGAACCGCGAATGCGGGTGAGACAGGCCGTGGCCGAGCAGACGGCGGCCGGGCGAGGGTCGGGATCGCTTGAGGGGGGTCAGGAAGTTTCCTCCCTCAAGCGAGAGGGAGCATCCCGTATGGACCAACCTATGTGTGTGTGGCGGGGGGTGGGGGAGGGAGGACGGAACGGCCCACTGTGAGTGTGTTGGAAGGCGGGGAAGAGACCATTCTGAGGGTGATGGGGGTCCCCTTCCGCATATGGAGAGTGGAGATCATTCTGAGTCTGGGGGGTTATTGCCTCTGGGGGGAGGCTAAGACCATTCTGAGTGTTTGGGGGGTCCGTCCTTAGAGAAGGGAGAGAGCATTCTGAGGGTGGGAAAGTTCTTCCTTATAGAAGAGAGAGGCTGTTCTGAGGGTGGTGGTTTCTTCCTTATAAAGGAATAGGGGGTATTGTGAATTAGGGTGGGGCGGGTCCTTCCTTACCCGACTTAGAGGGTCCACTTTGAGGATTAGGATGTCCGTTATAAGGAGATAGGACCGTCCTGGGGGTCCCTTCCTAATGGTGGTAGAGTTCATTGTATGTTGGAGTGGGAGGGTCCTTCCTTACATGGCAGAGAAAAGACGTTCTAAGGGTGCAGGGCCCTTCTTTATAGCGGGGAGAGTTCGTTGTGAGTGTGAGTAGAACAAGGAATGATTCCTTGGCTGGAGGTAGGGAAGGTGCGGTGGTGGGAGGATGACTGGACCATGTGAAGTATAGGGAAATATTTCCTTATGTCCTCGAGGGAAGCAGACCATTCTTGGTGCAGTAACCATTTATTATATGGGGTTCAATCCTAGGGACTGTAGAGGAGTTATTTCTTAAGTTTGTGAAACCATTCTGTGTCAGAGGGACTCTGGTGGTCACAGAAGGTAGGAGTTGGAGAGACCATTCTTAGTGTGAGGGGATGGACTAATACCTTAGATGGGAGAGAGTCCGTTCTTTAGGGGGTGGACATGCCTTATATAGTGGTTTCATTCCCTGTATTGAGGTATCATTCTTTACGTAGGACAACCCCTCATTAAATAGAAGCATCATTTCATATAAATCTTCGGTTTGCTCGCCCACATAATGGAATCCTTGTAGCTCACTCAGAGATCAGAGCAACATAGGGGTCTGCTGACGTAATCCACATAAATCCTTTACCCCAGTGATAGGTAGATGGTTAGCACTCAATAAATGTTGAGAATGTGGTTGGTATTCTGTCTTGGGGTGAGTTGCTTCACACACACAGGAGGGAGCGAGGGGGCCGAGTGTGTCCCGGCACCTGCTCCAGCCATTTCCTGATACCTCAGTAAGGATTCTGGGTATGGGCTGGACAGGGTGAGGCCCACTTCCTCCTTTGTGGCTCTTCCTGCCTGTTGAGGCAGTAGAAGTAGCTGGGAGTCAGACCCTCCTTGGAGTCAGGACAGGGAGGCAGAGGGAGGAAGTGGCAGTGGCTAGGAGGGTCCTGGTTAAGAAAGGAGTGAGGGGGAAGGTGGTGGTGTGGCTGTGCCCCAGCAGCTTCTGACCCCTTCTTCCGCCTTGCTCATTCCATTTCCCACAGCTCACCGGCGCCTCAAATACATATCCCTAGCCGTGCTGGTGGTCCAGAATGCCTCCCTCATCCTCAGCATCCGCTACGCCCGCACACTGCCTGGGGACCGCTTCTTTGCCACCACTGCTGTGGTCATGGCCGAAGTGCTCAAAGGTCTCACCTGCCTGCTGCTGCTCTTCGCACAGAAGAGGGGTATGAGCCAGCAAGGGAGCATGCACTGGGGGCAGTGACGGGACTGGGCGTGGGCGCGCGCGGGCGTGTACACCCAGGCCCACATGGAGGGTTTGCTGGGGGAATAGCACTGTATCACTGTGTCTGCAACCACCTGGGGAGTGTGTAAGTGCAGCTAATCTGCCTGGTCCCTCCAACTATGAGTAGCCGCAGCCACACTCTTAAACCCCTAATGCCTTGGAAGCTGGCATGTGTGGACTGTAGGAGTGAGATAGTCTGTGCCCATAAGGTAGCAGGTGACCCTTACAGGGTGGTTCATTTATTTCCCTTTAACTTTGCATTATGGATCATTTTAAGCATATACAAACCCGGAGAGAATAACAAAATAATAAAATGTTCATGTACCCATCACCCAGATTCATCAGTTGTCAACTCATGGCCCCTCTGCCATTAAACAGCATCAGTGATTATCCACTCACTGCCAATCTACATGTCTGCCTACCTACTCACTCCCTGCCTTATTATACTGCAGTGTGTCCCACATGAAGTAAGTAGTGTTTTGAAGTAACCCCGCCCCCCACCTTACTATCTGAAATAAGTATTTTGGTACATTAAAAAAAATAATTGCAATATCTAAAAATCATACATCAAAAAATGAACCATAATTTTTTAAAGTTAATAAAATAATCAAATATCCAGTCAAGTGTTCACACTTATAATGGTTTTTCAAATATCATAAAAGTTTTTAAGAATTTGTTTCAGTCGGGCTTATATAAGGTCAGTGCCTTGCAATTGGTTGATGTCTTCTAGGTCTGTTAACCTCAGGGTTCTCCTCCAGCTCTTTGTGATCTGCAGTTAATTTCTTGAAGAGAGCAGGTCGTTTGTCTTGGAGACTTTGGACAGCCTGGATTTTGCTGGTTGCCTCCTTGTGGTATCATTTAACATGTTCTACCCTCTGTATTTCCTAGAAGTTGGATTTATCTACTAATTTAAACACGTCCCTAAAGGCCTGCTTTAAAACGTTGCCGCCAATTGTTTCTCTATAAAGGCCTTGCCGGGGCGCCCAGGTGGCTCAGTCAGTTAAGCATCTGACTCTTGATTTCAGCTCAAGTCATGAGATCAAGCCCCGCATTGGGCTCTGTGCTCAGCAGTGGGGAGTTACCTTGAGATTTTCTCCCTTTCCCTCTGCCCCTCCCCTTGCTCGTGTGCACGCACACTCTAGTAAGTAAATAAAGCTTTAAAAAAATAAAGGCCTTGCCTGTGTAAAGGATACAGATGTATGTTCTAGCTCTGCTCTCAGTATTTACACTGAAGAAAACAATCTTGCCCACTCATTAGCGCCAGGGCCCTGGGAGGCAGCAGTTTGGGAACCCACCTGTTCTGTTCTTTCTTTTTTTTTTAAGTTGAAGTATAGTTGACATACACAGTTAACCCTTGAACAACACGGGTTTGAGCTGTGCAGGCCCACTTAGATGCAGATTTCTTTTTTCTAACAAATATAGTATTGAAAATGTATTTTCCTTATGATTTTCTTTTCTCTAGTTTACTTTAATGTAAGAATACAGTATATAATACATATAACATAGAAAATGTTCTATGTTCTCAGTAAGACTTCCAGCCAACAGTAGGCTATTAGGAGTTAAGTTTGGGGGTTCAGGGAATCAAAAATTCTATGCAGATTTTTAACTGTGTGGGGGGTTGGTGCCCCAACTCCTGTGCTGTTCACTGGTCAACTGTAATGTTATCTTAGTTTCAGGTGTACAACATACTGATTCAACAATTCTCTACATTACACAGTGCTCACCATGATAAGCGCAGTCACCATCTGTCACCATACAAAGTTATTACCATATTATTGGCTGTATTCCCTGTGCTGTACTTTTTTTTTTTTTTTAAAGATTTTATTTATTTATTTGACAGAGAGAGACACAGCGAGAGAGGGAATACAAGCAGGGGGAATAGGAGAGGGAGAAGCAGGCTTCCCGCGGAGCAGGGAGCCCGATGCGGGGCTCGATCCCAGGACCCTGGGATCATGACCTGAGCCGAAGGCAGACGCTTAACGACTGAGCCACCCAGGCGCCCCTCCCTGTGCTGTACTTTTCATCCCTGTGACTTACTTATTTTTATAACTGGAACTTTGTACCTTGTAACCCCCTTCGCCTATTTCGCCCTTCTCCTACTCCCCACCCCTCCAGCAACTACCAGTTCTCTAGGAGTCTATGAGTCTGTGTCTGTTTTTGTTGTTTGTTTGTTTTGTTTTTTAGATTCCAGGAGTCAGTGAAATCATTTGTCTTTCTTGGTCTAACTTCTTTCACTTGGCATAATGCCCTCAAGGTCCATCATCTGCTCTGTCCTCCCCCCCCCCCCGCCCCCCATCTGCTCTGTTCTCAGTTGATTGTGAGACACTTCAGGTGCTCACTGTGGCAGGCCCTGCCCTGGCTATGGAGGTGACTGTGCTAGCTGGGCAGGCTGCATCCTGCCCTCATGGGGCTGATCCTGCCCTTGGGGGGCTGATATTTTAAATGGGGAGAAACAAAGAGCCACAGCCTTAACCGCAGGCCTTCGCCTCAGATCTACAATTTCAACCCCTCCCCCATGTTTTTTTTCCCTTAAATCAAGTTTTGTGGTAAAACTTGGCCTGCCGCGATGTAGGGCTATTTGTATATCTGTGGGTTTTTTTTTTAATTTTTCTCATTTGGTGTGAACATTTACACAAGTCGCCGCAGAGATACGAATATGTGTGGTTATGGTGCGCAGCCCCCTGTGTGTGGGCATGTTACGTAAAGGATGTGCTCGATCTACCATGTTACTTTTCTGATGCCTGGAAAATGTCCAACACCCAAACCCCTGGGCCCAGAGAATTGGGGCTAGGGGTTCAAGATTGGTAATTACTCCCGGGATTGAGGCCGTGAAGGGCCAGGACGGGGTTTTGCGAACGAGCCCTCAGCACGAGGTCCCTGTGATAACCTTGTGCAGAGTTGTGGGGGTTTTCACAGAGAAGGTGAACTGCAAAAAAGTGCGGTGAGCTTTGCAGAGGCCTTAACTCTCCAGGAAGGTGTTCTCGTGTATTGGTGGGAGCAGGTCCCAACCAGACTTGGCTGCTGACTAGTCCAGCTTCCACTCTTCCCTGTGGCGAGGGCAGCTACATCAGTGTGTCACTGTCATTGTTTGTCTGGCGGACAGAGTGGGAGATGGCCCCTGCCCTCAGGCAGCTCGAGGGCCAGTAAGGAGCTAGGAGGAGTGTCAAAGTCGAGTCTCAAATGTCCCCTCTGGTCAGCAGCCTTGCATTCATACTCCTAAGGCCTCTACTTCACAAGCTAGTTCATGCTGACAATTTCATTGGATAGACGGGTATTGAGTGCTTGCCCTGAATGTGAGCTGAGTGAATATGGTCTGTGAGCCTCAGCCGCAGAGCTAAGGACGATTTTTTTGTGTCCATGAAACTGGTAGCCAAGAGGACTGCTGGAGATGTGGGGAAACTGAGAGCACAGGCCTCATTCGAGCCCTCAGGAAGTCAGAGCGTGGTGGGGAGACACAGGACCGGGCCCAGTCCTGGCCCTCAGAGGATCTTCAGTGCTAAAGAGGGCTGTCCTCCACCCCACCCCCCAATACACCCCAGGTAACGTGAAACACCTGGCGCTCTTCCTCCACGAGGCTGTCCTGGTGCAGTATGTGGACACACTCAAGCTCGCGGTGCCCTCTCTCATCTACACCTTGCAGAATAACCTCCAGTATGTTGCCATCTCCAACCTGCCGGCTGCCACTTTCCAGGTGAGCCCCATGCCCACTGTGGCCTCAGAGGGGTCAGCTGGGGTCAGGGAGGTAGGAGGCTGACGAGGGAGGGCTGCAGAGAGCTGGGGCTGTGTGTCACCTTTGAAATGTCCTTGGCTCTCCCTCGACCTCACTTTCTTCATCTGTGAGAATTGGGAATGGGATTGCCTCCTCACCAGGATGCTGGGACGGCTGAAAGAAATAATAATACCCGGGAAGATCCCTTGGTTGGCAATAGGTGGGCCTTTGGCTGTTTGCAGGCAGCCTTGGAAAACGGTTAAAGAGCCTGGATTCTGGGGCCAGGCTCCCTGGGTCCAAATCCCACCTCTGCTACTTCCCAGCTGGGTGATCTCTGGCAAGTCAGTTCACCTCTCTGTGCCTTAGTTTCCCCATCTTCCCATCGGACGTTACAATAGCGCCCACTTCATCTGCGCGAGCCCTGAAAGAATAGATTCGTGTGCCGTGCTCAGAGCCACTCTAGCACACAGCGGACACTGTGTCAATGTTTGCCGACGGTATCATCGTGGCTGATTTGCTTGCATCAGCACCTATTTATCAAGACCCCCCCCCCCGCCCTCGTCAGAGAGCCTGTCACTCGTTCACTCACCTGCTGCATGAGCTGGTTCACAGACAACAGCTATATTTACAGATGGTGATGTCTGGGCCGAGACGGGGCAGGTGCTTTGTTCCTCATCACACAGCCGGAAAATGGGGTTGGGACGCAGGCTTGGGTGTGGCCCGGGACTTCCTTGCGGAGCTGTGGACTTTCTGGGAGGCACCGCAGGGCTGTTTGGCGGCCTGCCAGTCAGTGGCCAAGGGCTGGGTAGCTTTATGGTCACCTGCCCCGCCCTGTCCTTCCAACCGGGCGCATGGGGGAGGGCGGCGGGGAACAGCCCTTAGTGCCTCCCGCCTGCATGCGCACGCAGGTGACGTACCAGCTGAAGATCCTGACCACGGCGCTGTTCTCCGTGCTCATGCTGAACCGCAGCCTCTCCCGGCTGCAGTGGGCCTCCTTGCTGCTCCTCTTCACGGGCGTCGCCATTGTCCAGGCACAGCAAGCTGGCGGCGGGGGCCCTCGGCCACTGGATCAGAACCCCGGGGCAGGCCTAGCGGCCGTCGTGGCCTCATGTCTGTCCTCGGGCTTCGCGGGCGTCTACTTCGAGAAGATCCTCAAGGGCAGCTCGGGCTCCGTGTGGCTGCGCAACCTGCAGCTGGGCCTCTTCGGCACGGCGCTGGGCCTGGTGGGGCTCTGGTGGGCCGAGGGCACCGCTGTGGCCCGCCGCGGCTTCTTTTTCGGGTACACGCCGGCCGTCTGGGGCGTGGTGCTCAACCAGGCCTTTGGCGGGCTGCTGGTGGCTGTTGTCGTTAAGTACGCCGACAACATCCTCAAGGGCTTCGCCACCTCCCTGTCCATCGTGCTGTCCACTGTTGCCTCCGTCCGCCTCTTCGGCTTCCACGTGGACCCGTTGTTCGCCCTGGGTGCTGGGCTGGTCATCGGTGCCGTCTACCTCTACAGTCTGCCCCGAGGTGCCGCCAAAGCCCCTGCCTCCGCCTCCGCCTCGGGGCCCTGCCCTCACCAGCAGCCGCCGGGGCAGCCGCCGCCCCCGAAGCTGTCTTCCCATCGCGGAGACCTCAGCACGGAGCCCTTTCTGCCCAAGTCAGTGCTGGTGAAGTGAGGGCTGGTGGGGGGGGGAGCAACAGGGAGGGGGGCTGGGTGGAGGGTGTTGGGCATCTGCAGGGACCTAAGCTGCCACTGCCTGGCTCCTCTGGGATTGGAAGAGTGTTTTCTCCCAGGTCGCAGAGACTTCTGGAGGGGCGTCACCGGAACCCCTCCTGGCAGACTGAGCCCCCCTCCCCTGGAGGGGGCTTTGAGAGCTGCCTCCTCTGCCGCAGTCAACCCCTCTGGGGGCTGGGCTGGCGGTATTGTCATTCAAGGCCTTTCTTTGCCTGCCTGCCTGCCCTCAGCTGGAGGTGTCCTGTCTTCCATGCCTGGGAGAGCCCCTCCCAGCAGTCCCTCCACCTTTGTAAGGACAAATTGGACAAAAATCCTACAGCTCTTTTAGTGACGGACGCCTGTGGGGTTCAGCTTCCTGTAGCTTGAGGCCTTCTGGCCTCCCTCACAACCACAATGGATCGCATTAGCAGCTCCGGTCTTTTTGTGTGTGTGGCCTTGGGGCAGCTTCCCTGACAGGAGACCCTTGGAAATGGGCCTCTTGTGGGCACCCCCCAGGAGAGAGGCAGGGGCAGGAGCTGAGATGTGCATCAGCCCGTTCCAGAGGAGGGGTTGTGCATCAGCCCGTTCCGGGGGAGGGTGTGGTAGGGGCCATCTGTTTTTTAGTGGTTTGGGAATTTGTGGTATAATCAGATAATTAATGATCTGGGGTGCCGGGGGGGGGGGGCAGGTGGGAGAGGTCCTTGAGTGGCTTGAATCTCAATGAATCTAAGACACTGTCAGATGCTGGATGCAGGGTTCTTTTCCGAGACATCCCGAGAGGGAAGATAAAGCTGCCAACCACTCTTGATCACGCACTGGCTGGATGAGGCACCCTTACTCTGTGATAGGGTGAGGGTGTCTTAAAATCGCTGAAATGTGGAACCTGCCCCCTGCACTCCCCAAAGCTTATTAACCCCTTAACTTGTCTCCCAGAATGTGTGTGTGCACGCGCGCGTGTGCATGCGTGCATTTGTGAGTGCGCACACGCACGCGCGGGAGATGCCTGGGCTGTCTTTGCTCTATGTAAATAGGGTCGTTGGATCTTTATTTTTGATTAAGTTGTGCTGATTTTTTTGGTTTGTTTTCTAAGGAACTGTAATGAACAAATGTCAGGAGACCCAATGCCAAATAAAGATGTTGTATTTATTTAGTCCACGTGTAGCTTTCTGACCCAGGGGACTCACTGTCTGCGTGGGCTCTGTTACTAACCCCAGGACTACCAGCCTCACAACTGCCGCCCTCGCTTGCTCAGGACGCCCGCCTGCCAGCCCGCCTGCCAGCCCCCCCCCCCAGCTGTCTGTGTTTCTCTCTTCCTCCCCATTCCTACCACAGGTTGCTCACCAAGGTGAAGGGTTCGTAGCTGCTGGGATTGAAGACGCTGGCCTGGCCTCCTTCTCCCCTCTTGCCCTGGCCCAACCAGGACCAAACTCTGATCAGTATTAGGGGTGGGGGGAGGTAGACACTGAACCCCCAACCTGGCCCCCCCACCCCCCCACCCTGCTCCCACGCAGGGGGGACACAACCAAACTCTGGTAATGAGGGCATGGACAGGACCCATCTCGGCCTCCAGCCCGCGTCGCCCCCATATCCTTGCCACTCCCATACTTTCTTAGGTGAGTTTTTGCAAATAAAATGTGTTTCGTATCTTGCCGGCTTGGGTTGGGAAGCCTCAAAAGCGCATGGGAAGGAAGCACTCAGGCCTCATGGGCACGATCCATCGAAAAGCTTTTATTAAAAACCCCCGGGGGCGGTGGGGGTGGCATGGCGGGGAGGCTCAGTCTTGTTGCTTGGTTCGTGAGGCCTCAGCGTTGGCCCGGAGCACAGCCCCCGGGGACGGGTAGGGGCGCTGCTGGAAGAGGGGCCCCGCTGCTGTCGTGTCTGCGCCCGTCTTGGCCTCATTCCGCTTGGGGAGTCCTGTTGACCATGTGCCCCTGGGGGTGAGACGGAGGATAGGAAATAGGGGTCAGGGCTTGAGAATATGGGATGTGGTAGGCACTCCCCTCTCTCCTCCCTCCCCTCTACTACAACAACTGACACATGGGGGAAGGAAATAGGAGGAAAGGAATGGTCACCGGCGCAAGGGAGTCACGAGCAAAGAGAAGGGCTTGTGAGGGGTTCTCATTTACCGAGGTGCATCCGAGTATGAGCTGGGGTCCATGGGGTCTAACTCTTCATCCTTCCGGCTTGCCACTGAGGAAGGAGGTGGCAGAGTGAGGTTTTCGGTAGAGGCACGAGGAGCCCCGATCACCAAACTCCCCCATCCCAGGAAGAAATGGAGCGCATGTCTGTGTGGCCCGCAGCACCATGCCCCAGGCCGCGGATTCAGGCCATCGCGGGAGCAAAGTGAGGGTCTCCCCCACATGGCACGCCCATGGCGCCTCACCTGCCTCAGTCCTGGCCCTGCTGCCCAGCTTACCCTTCTTGCTCTTGGGGTAGGGGGCCAGCTCTTCCCGGCGGTGATGGCGCCGTTCCTTGCTCTCTTCCCGGTCCGACTTGTCGTACCCCCGGTCCCGGTCCCGATCCCTGTCCCGCTCTCTCTCTCTGTCCACTTTGTCATAACCACGCTCTCGGTCTCGGTCCGACTTCTCGTGGCCCCGGTCCGACTTCTCGTGGCCCCGGTCCGACTTCTCGTGGCCTCGGTCTGACTTCTCGTGGCCCCGGTCCGACTTCTCGTGGCCCCGGTCTGACTTCTCCTCAGCATCTGGAGACACAAAAGCCTTGAAGTGACCTTCCTCCTCCCATCTCAGGCCCCCAGCAGCCTCTGCCTTCAACAACCCCCCTTGCCTGGGGTTGGGCCTGCCTGTCTCACCTGCCCCTTCCCCGACCCACTATCATTTATCTGACCCCTCTCTGAGAACTGCAGAACCACTTGAGGCGCCCTCCAATCTGCCGGCTCACCTGCATTACTGGTCCTGAGCTTCTTGGCCGATTTGGTAACGACGGAGTTGGGGTCGTGTGGGGAGAGCCAGGACACGAGGTCTGTGTCCACATTCCAGTAGTAAGGGAGCCCGCTGCGGGGCAGTGGGAGGGAAGGAGGGAGGGGGAGAGAGGAGGGGGAAAGGGGGGGAAGGAGGGAGGGAAGGAGTGTCAGCTAAGATGTCCTCTCCTTATAGCCTCAACTCCTGTCTCCCCAATCTCTACTATACCTGCCCCATGTCAGGACCCCGGAGGGAGGACCCCCAGACCTCTTCCCTATGTTCCCCATTTACCCCAAGGCCAGGGACAGCACAGGAAAGGTGAAGTCAGACGTCAGCTCCCCCCCCACCGCCCAGTTCCCCAGGCTCACCAGGAAGGGTCAAACACCTTGTACCAGCTTGGTGGCAGGCCCTCCAACCGGGTGGCCTCATAGTCCACAGGGTCATCATCGTAGTCCTCAGCAATGATCTCTTCCTCTGGTTCTGGCAGAATAGCGGGGTGGAGGAAAGCAGTAAGGACCAGAGGGATTCTCATCCTATGGTCAGAGCCTGGAGAGACACTCAAATTCACATGGACCACGTGTGTGTGTGTGGGGTGGGGGGAGTGCATCAGGTCTCACCTGCTGTGGCAAATATCACATTCCAAATCCAAGTGTCTGAGCATCAGGGGATTTGCCAAAAAATGTACCTAAATCTCTTCTGTTTCTGGGTTTGGATAAGATTTGAGATTTGATACTGTTACCCTGACCTATCTGATTTCAGAATTTAGACAAGGATTCATCAAAACAAGTGTAGCCTCCAGTTCCTGCATTCAGGAAGCATGCAACACCATGCTATCCAAATCTATTTGGATAAAAGAAGTTTGAACAGTAAGGGGTTGTTCTGAAAATACATTCAAATCTATTCAGCTCCCAAGCTTGGCAAATCCGGGGTTTCTGATTCTGTCTATTGAGTAGCAAGTCTGGATGGCAAGGGATATATCCAAACACTGCTCTGAATCCATTCAGGTCCTAGGCCTGACACATAGCAGGCCTGCAGCAGCTGCCAGTTACTATTGGTAAAATAAAAGAGGCATATGTTGTCAGCTTGGTACATGACCCTCAGTAGGCCTACCACAGATTTCAGCTGTGGATAGAACTAACAATGAAATGTATATGTCAGCAACAGCATACTGCCTGTCACACAATAGGCCCAAAGTAGATGTGAACTATAATCATCAGTATTGTTAGTAAGATGTATATTCCATCAGCACAGGGCCCAGTACTCAATAGGCTTAAAATAAATTATCGATGATCATTATCAGTATTATTAACCACAAGATCTATGCGTGCCACAGAGTAGCTTGTAACAGATGGCATTTATCAATGAGGTGAAAATAAGATGTACTTTCCAGTGCCTCGCACACTGTAGCCCAAAACAGATGCAAAAAAAAAAAAGATGCCACTTACTGACAATGAGGTGTAAATATTAGCAGGAGCAGCCCAGTAGGCATAAATGATAGATCCTTTCATTATCTTCTACCATTAGCCATGATGTGTATGCCAAGCACTCAGGCCCAAAATACATGTCAGCTACTGATACGGTGAACAATAAGGTATAGATCACTAGCATCATGCCTGGCACCACAGTCGGTCTAAAATAATGTAATCACGGGCACCTGGGTGGCTCAGTCGTTAAGTGTCTGCCTTCGGCTCAGGTCATGATCCCAGGGTCCTGGGATTGAGCCCCACATCAGGCTCCCTGTTGGGCGGGAAGCCTGCTTCTCCCTCTCCCACTCCCGCTGCTTGTGTTCCTGCTCTCGCTATCTCTCTGTGTCAAATATATAAATAAAATCTTTTAAAAAAAAAGTAATCACTAGGGTAAATAACAAAGTATCAGCATCCTGCTACCGTCTAGGGAAGATGTAAGCTGTCTTTACCGTAGAATACTCTGTAATCACTTACAGGGATTGTTAGATGGATTGCACGTGGCATACAATAGGCCCCCCAAAAAAGGCATTAGGTGTCAATATTAAGCACGAAATATGTATTCCCCACCCCCACCCCCGCCCGCAGTAGGAATGGATGTCAGGAAGCCATATTGCTAACAATGTCCGCCACCCCACTGATTGGTGCGCAATAGGCCCATGCTAGGTATCGAGTGGCGGTATCAACAACAAAGTGCCTGCCAAGGCTGGCACATGGTAGGCCCATCTGCTTTTAGCTCGCTCACCGGGCTCCAGATGTTTGAGGATGCCTCTCTTGGCCAAGCGGGTCTGCAGCGCAACAGGCAACGGCATAGTGGATAGCAGACAGACCTAGGGACGGACGGACTGACAGGCAAACGCACACACAAAAAAACCAGCTCAAATGAGGATTCAAATCCCGATCCTAAAAATCAAGCGCCTCCTCCCAGCATATACTCATCTGGACCCCCACTTACCCACCTGCACCAACAGCTGGCTGGACGGAATCGACGCGCTAAAAGGTGGAAGATAGGTGCAATGCCACCCAAACTCCCACCGACACCCGCCTCGAGACTGGGTGTTCCAGGACCCAGTTCCCCTCCCGGGCCCAGGCTCCGCCCACCGCCGAAGGGGCCAAGCTCAGTTCCCCCGCGCCCAGGAATGGGCTCACCCAACGTCCCCCAAAGACTGCCGGGTGGGAGGAACCAATGCGTTGGGAGGGGGGAGCAGAGTGCAGCACCTCCTCCAGCTGCAAAAAATGCACCCACCCCGACATTACCAATGCAATCACGCGAGTAGTGGAAGGCTGTCAGACCGGCCGCCCCTCCCTCGTCGCGGCTAGGATCACCAGCACCACACGACTGCCCTCTCCCAAAGCACAGAATGAGGTCCTCCCTCCCCGAGGCTTGAAGGAACTGGGCCGGCGCTCAGGCTACGGTACAGATGACGCAAACCTGGGGGGCCAATAAGAGCGTGGCCCTGGCCTGACGAGCGCCAAGCGACCCAATCGCAGGCCTGGAATGGGTGGAGAGCTCGGGCGCCTCTGTGCGTTTACGGCGGGGGCGTGGCCCGGCCGAGGCTTAGCCAGACTGCGCGGCCGGACGCCGGCGCCATGGAGGAGTACGCTCGGGAGCCTTGGTACGGCGATGGGCACAGGCCCCGGGACTGTTGCTGCGGCGCCACGGCCAGCTGTGGGAGGCGGGCGGGGGAGGCGCCGGCCACACCGCGCCACGTCCCAGACTCGGGAGACCCTTAAACATTTGTGGTCTCCTTCCGTTCCCCTCCGCTTCGTTCCTCCCACTCGGGCTCCGTTAAGAGGGGCCGCAGCCGTGTGCCTGGAGACGGTACGGTGCCGGACCAACTGCTCCCAAGTGTCCCCGGACTCCGTTATCTCCTCAGTTCCTTTTTGTTAACGAAAAGAGACACGCTGGTCGAGTCCATTCCAGCCCGGGGGGGGTGGTGGCGGTTGTCGAACGGAAATCCCCACGCGTGGCTTTTCCGAGGTCGCTTTAGCGAATGGGGGCGGGGCCTGGGTGAGCCTATTGCGGACGAGCCGGATCCTTCCCCCTCCGTCTGCTCTTGGTTTTTCCCAGTTGGGGCGGGTTGAAAAAGAGGGAAGAGGGCGGGGTTTGGTCGGACGTGCTCATTGTCGGAGAGGGGGGTGCGACCCCGTCCTGCTTTAATAACAGTACTAGCAAATTGACGCTTCCACAGCGCTGATCCAAACGTGCCCACTCCGCGTGTATCAGTTGATTGAATCTTTGGTAGTAGGAAAGCAGTTGGCTGATTCCTTGGTTGGCTGCGAGGGGAGGGGCGGACAGGGCCAAGACTAATGTTTTTCCCTTTTGCACCATTTCTTGCTGAAATGAGGGGGGAAATAATATTATCTGAAGTGCTGCTTCCCATTCGAGTGACTTGCCTTCTCCCAGTTGGAAGGAGTCCATGCAACATGGGAGGGGGAAGAGGGGCTCACTTAACCCCGCCCTCCCCTTCCGGCTTGCAGCCCATGGCGAATTGTGGACGATTGCGGAGGAGCCTTCACTATGGGTGTCATCGGCGGTGGAGTCTTCCAGGCCATCAAGGGCTTCCGCAACGCCCCTGTCGTGAGTCGTGGTCGTCCCTGGGTGGTGCGGGGGTCCTGCCCTGCCCACACGGGATACTTCGCTGAAAACTGCTTGGAGCTGCCATGACTTACTCATTCTGGTGCCTGTTAGCCTACTATGTGCCAGGCCTGGCTCCAGGATCTGTGGTTTGGGAAGAACTGCAAATATGGCCCTGTGTCCCTTGCCCCCACCACCCAACTGGGGCTCCTCTGTGGAAATGCCGTGCTGTCAAAACGATCCCAAATCCTCAATGTATGTGCAAAGCCAGAGAGATTTTCCCCAGAGGCAGATTACCTGGATACAGGGAAGTGACAGGAGTTTAACTGGCAGAAGGAGGACAGCCTTAAAGTTAAGAAAATGCTTTTAATGTAACCTAATCAGTTCTCTCTCTCTGCCCACCCTCTTCCAAGATTTTATCAAACATCATGGCTTTAAATGCCATCCATTTGCCAAGGTCTCTGCAGTTTATATATCTAGTCCTGTCCCTCCCCTCAACTCCTGGAACTCTTTCCTAGATCTTTGCCCAGATTTCCTGTTCCCATCCTCAAGGTCTCAGCACAATCCCCCACCCCCCTTTAGAGTCCTTTCCTGACCCCTCAGTCATTATCATGTCTCTTGATCCCACTTCCTCCAGGGTGTGTATTGCTGTGTGAAGCTATCTTGTAGATCTGTACCTCTGCTGGGGATCTGTCTCTCCCACTGTAACGTGAACTCTGAGAGAGCGGGGGCTAGGTCTGTCTCAGTCACCATCCCTACATTACAGCATGGTGCCTGGTGCTTAGGTGCTAGTGATCACTGAATGAATGAGAACTTCTCAACCCACGGCTGAGAACGCCCATGTGAGGGTGCTCCCCAGCCTCCGAGTTCTCGGCCCCTGCTCCCCATCTCTACTCCTGATACCCCTGACCTGTCGTGTTCCCTCTCTTAAAACCTAGAAACCCTGCGTGCCAGGGCCCTCATCCCTGTTCTGACTCCCTACCTCCTTACTTTTCCCAGGGAATTCGGCACCGACTGAGAGGTAGTGCCAACGCTGTGAGGATCCGAGCCCCCCAGATTGGAGGTGAGAGGCTTGGAGAGACCTAGGAGCTGGGATGCAGAGTTGGGGGTGGTCGCTCCTGTGGTTCTAGACTGCAAATTGGGGTCCACATTCCAGCCCCAGCTCTGCCTGGGACTTCCAGGACAGTGATGTTTCCCAATAATTTAATATGGAGGGTCAGGAATGTGGATTCTGGAGCTTAAATCCAGGTCCCGGATCTTCCCTGATGCATGACTTTGGGTTCGTGGCTTCACCTCTCCAAACCTCATCGGTAACGTGGGGATGGTGATAGCAATAACCACCTAAATTGTTTTGTAAGTTACATCATTTACATTTACATCATTTACAGAGAACTTACTAAGTGCTGGTTGCTCTGCTAAACACTTTAATAAGAAGAACGAATTTAAGACTTCAGAATCAGTGCCTAGAACGGGTCCTGGCGCACAGCAAGGTCTCAAGAAACACTTTAACTATCCTAGTGTTAATCGGCTTTCATAGCCTGTTTTCGTCTCCCTTAAACCAAGATTGGAATTCCAACTCGGTGTGATGGTTAGGAAGATCAAAGTTGCTCTGTTCAAAGCCACACCAAGATAAATCTGCTTGTAAACACTTGTCAAACCCCTACAAAGGTGAGGGGAATGCCCTTGGCAATTAGAGATCGCTTGACAAAGGAGCAGCCTCGGGCAGACGGGGAATATCCCCTAGGAGTTTACTCTCTGCCTTTGTGTCTGGGTTTTTCTCCCCATTCATTGCCCGAGCGTTCAGGCCTTGGAAGTCCGCAGACACTGAGCTCTGGATTTTGGGGGATTCCTCAGGAACACTGATTCGGCCTCGGTCTCCCTGCAGGTAGCTTCGCGGTGTGGGGGGGCCTGTTCTCCACCATCGACTGCGGCCTGGTGCGCCTGCGGGGCAAAGAAGATCCTTGGAACTCCATCACCAGCGGAGCATTGACCGGGGCCGTGCTGGCGGCCCGCAGTGAGTGCCCCAGCCCCTGGCCCCCAGCCCCAGCCCCTTCTGCCCTGTTCTGCCTGCCCTCACCTCTTTCTCCCTGCCTCTTCACTCTCCCAGGTGGCCCACTGGCCATGGTGGGCTCGGCAATGATGGGGGGTATCCTCCTGGCCCTCATAGAGGGTGTTGGCATCCTCCTTACTCGCTACACTGCCCAGCAGTTCCGCAATGGTGAGTATCTGACAGATGCTGCTCAGGGAGAGGTGCAAAATGCGTTGCCCCTCACCCTTACCTGATTCTTTCCTCTCCAGCACCCCCGTTCCTGGAGGACCCCAGCCAGCTGCCCCCTAAGGAGGGTACCTCAGCCCCAGGCTATCCCGGCTATCAGCAGTACCACTGAGGAAGTGACTGCCTATCATCACCACCGTGGGAGCTCCTCCTCCGTTCCCTCCCCGATGATCTACCTCGAAGGGAGGGCTGGCTCCCAGTTGGCCCTGGGACCCTCCAGAGAGGGCCTCTACTCTGCTCCCTTGTCCCAGGGTGGGGGGTGGGGCACCCCAGCTGCCCTGATGGATGGGTCCCCTTCTCAGGGCACCCCAACCCCAAATTCACATGTAACAAGTTCTCACCCCAGCTCCTTTTCCTCACGCCCTGATGAGTATTTAAAGCCAGTTTTGAAATGCCTGTGTTTGTACTCCTTGAGCCACGCGTGTTGGGAGCCCCTCCTTAGGACAAGGGGCAGAGCCCTCTTCAGGGACTCAGAAGTCCTAGAACTTGGAGTCCCATAGAGAGTGGGCTCTAGTAAATGTCTGTGGGATGAATGAGCAGGAGGGGGAATGAATCATGAATCAAGATGTGAATAGGTACATGAATAAGGGTGTGTGGGGGCCAAGTGATGACTCGTAGGCAGACAAGAACAGGCTTGGCAAAGAAGTGAGTGAACAGAAGGATTACTGGGGTGGGGAAGGGGAGTAGTTCTGCACCTTGCATCCCTGAGCCCTCCCGCCCATGCCCCCATTGCCAAGGCTAGGAAATCTGATCTCACAGTCACTTCTGGCTCTCTGGATCCCAGTCACCCCATTTGTGAATGTGATCTCCCTCTGTGCTTCCCCATGGACCTGGGATGGAAGTAGGGGTCAGAAGGATCCAGCTTGCTTTTTTTAAAGATTTTGTTTGACAGACAGCGAGAGAGGGAACACAAGCAGGGGGAGTGGGAGAGGGAGAAGCAGGTTTCCCGCGGAGCAGGGAGCCCCATGCGGGGCTCGATCCCAGGACCCCGGGATCATGACCTGAGCTGAAGGCAGACGCCTAACGACCGAGCCCCCCAGGCACCCCGAAGGATCCAGCTTTCTTGAGGAAGCTGCCCTGTGTCAGTCTCCTGCACCACAGAGCTACTTCTCCACTGATGTTCAGTGTTGCAGTTGTTTAAGAGCAACCATAAAATAACCAGAAAAGAGTTTTCATATTGGGGTGGGGGCATTATGAGAAAGAGATTTTTCTGGAGGGACATTGGCCCCAAACGCTGTCTCTTCCATGCAAACCCCTACATGCATGGGGCCAACACTGTCACCACTGGGGTGCAGATGGCCTCACGGGGACCTAAGAACTGTGTCTTCTAGTGCAAGTCGTTACAAAGAGGTGATGTCCTTAGACAAGATTGCTTCCTGCGGGTAAAAATAGAGTCCCTGACCTCCCAACGGCCTGGGTGCCCCCGTAGTAGCAGAACTGCGACACGGCCCGCTTGTGCGCCTTGGTGCCAGGCGGTTGGCAGCCGCCAGGGGGTTGGCAGCCGCCAGGCTGGAGACTCAGGGAAGCAAGGTGGGGGAGGCCTAACGGCACTGTGAGCACGGCCCTCGCAGGGCCCCGGCGCCGGCCTCGAGCTCCGAGCTCCGAGCTCCAGGGGCGCATTGGTTTAGGACCCAGGGTCTTCCAGGCTGTGATCCTTTCTGGGCGAGACCCCTTCTTCACCGCCGGGCCCCATTCCCCCAGCTCCCCGCGCGCCCCGCGTATCTTCAGACCCCATCCTGCCCCTATCAAACACTGCCCCGCTAGCTGCTCCCAGTCTTTCCCATCCGCGAGTCCGTAGGCCCCACTCACGCGGCTGTGGTGTCCGCAGACTATCCGCAGGCCCCCTCCTGTCTTTCCTCCCTGTCCTCTAAGGATCCTGCAGGCCCTTACCTCTTTTACGTATCAACTGGCTCCTCTGAGGCCACATCCCTGCTGTAGCTCCCCGGTCCCCTCCAGATGGGCTGGGCTCCTACAGGCCCCTTCCAGCCGCAGCTCCCCGGCCCTCCCCAGTCTCTAGCCCGAACCTCTGCCCGGCTTCAGGCCCCGCCCCCTCCCGCTCCTTAAGGGTCGGCCCCTGCAGGTGCACCCGAACACGCGGGCCCTCCGCCCTCCTCTCGCGCCCCCGGGACCCCCCGTTCACTGTCTCCGGTCCCGGGAGGCCGCGGGACGCGCGGGGGTCTCGGCGCCGTTCCTGGCAACCTTCAGGCCCTTCCGCTCTGGCTCCTCGGGCCGCTGGCTGGGGGAGCGGGGCGGGGGCCGGGGCCGGGGTGAATAGCGGGGGACCCGGCGCAGCAACCGACGCTCGCGACTTCGGGAGAGAGGTGTCGGGCCTCCTTGGAGCGCCCGGCGTCCGCGGAGCCCCTGGGCTCCTAGCTGGGCCTGGGGAGCCCGGGCCGCCCAGGTCCCCGGAACTGGAGCCGGGGCAAGGGAGGAGCGGTCAGGTCGGGTCTGCGCCCGCAGGCAGCTTCTCTTTGCCCAAGAAGGAAATGCGGGGTCAGACCCCAGGCAGTTTCCACTGGGAGGGCCTGCGGAGACCGGGAGCAGGCGCGAGTGAGACAGAAACGGAGATGGAGACATAGAAGCCGAGGGACATACCAGAAAGGGGATGGAGACTAGGAAGACGGGAGGCAGAGAGAGACACACAAGAGATTTATGAAGAGACAGAAACAAGAAGCTGTGTGAGGGTCAGAGATGCAGGTGGGGGGGCGCCTGGGGGGGCTCAGTCGTTAAGCGTCTGCCTTCGGCTCAGGTCATCATCTCAGGGTCCTGGGATCGAGCCCCGCATCGGGTTCCCTGCTCAGCGGGGAGTTTGCTTCTCCCTCTCCCACTCCCCCTGCTTGTGTTCCCTCTCTCGCTGTCTCTGTCAAATACATAAATAAAATCTTTTTAAAAAGAGAGAGAGAGGCGCCTGGGTGGCTCAGATGGTTAAGCATCTGCCTTCGGCACAGGTCATGATCCCAGGATCCTGGGATCGAGTCCCGCGTTGGGCTCCCTCCTCGTCGGGGAGCCGGCTTCTCCCTCTCCCGCTCCCCCTGCTCGTGCTATCTCTCTGTGTCAAATAAATAAATAAAATCTTAAAAAAGAAAGAGAGAGAGATAAAAATGCGGGTGGGACCTGGGAAGACCCTCAGCATCAGACAGAGGCAAACACAGGGAGGAAGGCCAGGCCCCATAGTAGTAGTGAGCTGGGCTGAAGGGCCAGGCTGACAGAGGGCTAGCAGGCTGCCCCTCCCTTACCCTCTGGCTGAGGGGCCTCAGAGAAACGGAGGGGAGCCCAACCTGCATCCTTTCTCCCTCTGGCTCTCTCTCTCACTCTCATCTCTGATTTAATCCCATCTGCTTCCCACAAGGATTTCATGCCTCTCCCTCGGGTTCTTCCTTCCCGTCTTCTTCCCCGCTTCGCCCACCCCCCACCCCCTGAGGCCCAAGTTGGCCTCCGTCTGTCTTGATCTGTCTCTCAGCCCTCCTTCCCCATTTCTCTACTTCAGTCTCCCTGGCTTGTGGCCATCCACCAGTGTGCGTGGGGCAGGTGGGTGGGGGAAGTAGCTGCTGAACAAGGTTAGTGAGATGGAAAGAATCAGGGAAGTACAACGGGGGCCAGCCCCAGCAGTGAGGTGGAGAATCACTGCCTCAGGCAGAGACCCTGAGAGGCTGGGGGGAGAGACATGGGGAAATTAGACACCCAGAGAAAATAGAAAGAATTGGGACAGAGCCCAAGAGAGGGACCAAGACAAAGCGAAGCCAGAGTTTACGGAGATATCAAAGGAGAGACAGAGATGCAGAGAAAGAGATAGCAAGAAAGAAAGAAAAAAAAAAACAGTAGGACAAGTGAAAAAGATGGGAACAGAGAAAATGTAAGAAGGGAGATAGACAAAGATTGGGAGAGTCAGACATCCAGTGGGGGTGAGGGAGAGAAAGGGGCAGAGAGAATCAGAACAAAACAAAGAAGTGAGAGCAAGAAAGAGTCAGAGCAGAGAGAGGGAGAGAGAAAGCAAGAGAGACATGAGAGCTGAACACATATACCCCCTTCCCCTGCGTCTGGGGGTTGCTGATCTGAGTGTTCTTATTTCTTTTGTTTTCTTAGTGGCAGCTGGAGAACAGGGCCTGACCGGGTGGGCAGCTCCGCCAGCCCCAGCCCCAGCACCCCAGGTCATCGAAGTGGGTGGGAGGAGGGCAGCCTCCCCTGGGGGCACGCTTTTTGAGAGCAATGCTCTGCTGTTGCGGAGGATGGCGTCAAGGAGTCCATTTGGGGCCAGCCTCTGCCGCCGGCCCACGGGAGCCATCCCTGGGGAATCTGCCGTGTCACCAGAAGGCCCACAAGCATGTGGAAGAGGAAGGATGTGCCAGTGATCCCTTCTGAGGGGACAGAGGAACCTTCCTTTTGTTACCTTCCTCATACATAAGAGGAAACGGAAGGCACCAACAGGTAAAGCAGCCCATCCACGGCTATGCTGCCCGAAAGTGGCAAAGCCGGCATCTCTACCCTTATTCGTAGCGCGTGGAGTTGGAGAGATGTGTCTTGCCCCATAATTTCCAACACATTATCAATCAGCATTACAGGTGCCCCTTGAAGGTTTTCACAGGCCAAGGCAACAATTTCCGAGCCCCCTTTGTTAAAGTAATAATGAAGGACTCGAGGACTGACTTCTTGGAGAGCAGGTTGGCAGCAATCTTGGGCATTCACACAGGCATCTTGTGAGAGGATCAGGTGCATTCAGGTTAAGAACCTTCATCAGAGGGGCGCCTGGGTGGCTCAGTCGTTAAGCGTCTGCCTTCAGTTCGGGTCATGATCCCGGGGTCCTGGGATCGAGTCCCGCATCGGGCTCCCTGCTCTGTGGG